GAAAAAAACGAGAGAGAGAGAGAGAGAGAGAGAGAGAGAGAGAGAGAGAGAGAGAGAGAGAGAGCAAGGCTTCAGTTTCTTTTCGTTTTTTGCTTTTTAAATTATAAACAAGACACAAGAAAGCTCTCATTATAAACATTACTATTCTACAATCCTCTCTGCCACTTTCGGTCTTGCAATACAACCTCCTCATACACGAAACGAACGAAACGAAACATTCAAACATTTTAATGAAAAATACTAGTCTTTCAAGAAGTTGTCTAAACTCATGCGAACAACCATAATTTGCCAACATCTTGATTTCATGATTTCTCTATGTTTGGCAAGAGCTACAATAAACAACACATTGGTAACAGCTTGGAGTTTGTTGCAGAAGAGAATGTTTGTGATTTCCGACAAATCCTGGGACATTAGAAGCCCATTCAAACTATCAACACCATCAACATAAATGTCAGCTTCGAAGAAAAAACTAATCGCAAGCTTTGAACTATCAGTCTGCAAGGATGAAACGGGTTTTTCATTACAGAAAGCATGAGCAAGGAGCAAAGCAAATCAGAAATCATAAAGCACACTAGCAGGAACCCGACTGAATGTATGATACTGGGAGTTTAAGACAGCGGAAGTTTCGTCTTGTGGTTGAAAAAAAACTTTTGAATATTTTGGGAATGTGACTAAAGCAAATCCAGCCAGAAATCTAATTCTCGTTATCCGCCAATCTCTAACTACCCAACTGAACATGGCTCATAGTAAAAGACATAAACACATGTACTACGTTGTCATTTCTTTAGGTAACACTAGGAATGTTCGAATTTAAAGAGTTTGTTTGAAATATTTATAATTTGGTTAAAATTTGAAAAAAAAAGAATATTACACACACTATCTTGGGATATTAGATAAATCACAGATACCGCAAACCAACTTCTGAATGCACGGGTACGGAAATATGCACTTTCCTATTATAAATTTAAGTATCAGGGAATAAATTATAGGTTATATGTATGAACAGCTTTACACTATGATCGAGGAAGTTTCAGGCTCGAACTTCTCCCATAATCTCATGAGCTGAAACGGACAACATGGGAAACAACTATGATTAGATCATACCTCAGTATGGGTCTTCACTAGAGATTCCAAATAGTCAATGACGATTTTCTTCATGTCCTGTCTACGTTGAGCGTCAAATCGTTGAACCTAGAGACATGGGAATCAATCCATTTGTGCGCATTATCTTACTTCTTCTCTTATTAATTTGCTCAACTCCAAGAACTCAGCTTCTAACTGATCCATCCTCCGAGCAGTGTCTTCAATTTCATCTTTCACCTGGTTAAGACGCTCAGTTTTTCCAGATAATTCCATTCTAAACCATAACTTGGAACTAAGTTTTCATTTCAAACCGAACCTGGCTTTGATCTCGCGCTTTTTCTGCAAGGTTTGTTGTGTGTTCTGCCAATTTTGCCAAACACGAACTCTCTCACTGAAAACATCCTTCAGAGATGCAATCAAGCCCACATATTCATTTATGGCTTCTGAGAACCTAGAAAGAATTATGATGACTCGCCGCAAACAAATTTAGCTTACAGAACAGTATCAGACTCTGCCTGCTTGGTCCAAATTGCTGCAGCACTATCTTCTGTTTCTGTCAGATGCGCTAAAGCTCGAGCTAAAGAAGTAGAATTTTCACAGGAAGCCAGCATGGCCAATCCCTGAACAAGAAAAGTAACTCAAGTGCTGTGAATGTACTACCTTGCTAAGGCTTTCTTGAGAGAGTGCAAGCTCTTTTCTTGTGCTTGCCAAGTTTGTTGCCAATGATAGCAGCTTCCTACAGTTAATTATATTACTAGCATCCCGCCGCATTGACTTACTTCAGGGACTCTTCTAACTCGTCAATATGTGATTGGGTTTGTTCAAACCAGCGATCTCCTTCTTCCATATGAAATGCCATTTTCGAGAAGACCTGAGCAAAATTTTCATCAAACAAGCTTTACGATTAGACATACTTCGCCAACACTCTTGAAAATTCGCTTAACACCGGCGCTAGAGAGAGCTGCAGTTTGAGTTGCATGAGGCAAATCCATCTAGAGGGAAAATATTATTTATTATGGAACAAATACCCAACCTCGCTCGTCAAAAAATCTCTAACGTCGCAATCAGTACGCATTCTAGGATGTTGAATCACACGACGTAGGAAACGCTCGAGCTGTCTAGCACGGATAGCAACTTCTGATCCAACACTTGGTTCATTAGAGGTCTACAACGCTCACATTTCTAATACTCTTAGCAAAACCATTTATACCTTAGTTTTTGTCATGGCAGTAATACTTTTTTCAGGGGCAGCGGGTACAATGACTCCTTTGGGTTGATGCTTCTCGACCAACTTATCTCGTATTCCCAAAAAATCAGAGAAACGTCTCCAAACATCGAAAGTGGCATTTTTGTAACCCGTGACTCCCTCACACTGAACATGAATTATGGGATGTGTCAAGTTTAGTTATCTAACCGTTGTGATAATATTGTAAACGACGTAAGCGCCCATTCCGTCACCTCTTTTCTCAAAATTTTTAACAGATATTGTCATTAAGTAATCGGTGTCATGGGAGAAACTGGTATACCCTGGGCTTTGTGAACGGAACCCGCTACTGGACGCAGATTGGTTATCCATTGAGCTGAACCTACAGAAGATATCAAACGAATGTCTTCCGATGATAAACAAACGTTTTAGCCTCTGAACTTGTGTTCATTATCGTAGCAGGAGGGCTCGATGCGGGTGTATCATCATGCGACAAGTTCAAAGTAAGCTTTGATGGGGTTTCCTCGTCATGATCCTGTAGTGGAGAAGCCTACAAAGGAATTCAAAGAAACGTTAGAGGCATAAACTGACATTGACTTCGTAAGGTGGTGGAACCTTGGTTGTTTCTTGCTCGTCGTCCGACAAGGAAACGGTAACTGTGGCTTCCTCTGATAACATGACCTCAAAACAAAAGACGGATACGAGTGATTGAAATTGATCGAAGTATTAGAATCGATGAATACGATTAACAAACACAAAATGGAAATTCGATACTATTGTTTATATACAGGAGTAAAGCGTTAACCCATATATTTTTCAAACCTGAGCAGACTAAAACTGAGAAAAAACAACAAAAAACGCAAGTGCTTCAAGAAAAATTGCAAAGTACAGCCCAGTGATCACTGGGGAAGCAAAGACAAGACCGAATTCTACTCTGACCTTGCAAGGAAAACTGAACTTTCTTCAGAGGTCCATACCAGAATATGCGATCGAACCTAGAATCATTCCATGTTGAATGGGATTAACTGGAGCAAGAAACCTTTTCCTAGCGCCATGGGCAGATTTATTATCGTTCAACCTAGTATCCCAAGTGAACTCGGTTTTCCTATCAGCACCAGCAGCAACCCAAGCATCTGCTAGCCCTCTAGGGACATTCGAGATCTATTTAAACAAAATGAAATATGAAAAAAGCAGTGACAAACTTCATGATCACGGATATTCAAATCGCCTCCGAAAAACAGCAAACTATTCGGATTCGCTTTAATGATATCCTTGACTTTCTCCATGCATTGTGCAAACTGCTCCTTCCTACACAAAAATGACAAACATGACGAATATATTCGAGAGATAGCAACCTTTTATCCGAGTGTTCTGCCATACTCTCCAAATGAGTATTCAAGAGGAAAACTACCTGCTCTCCAATGAAACCCTGAGAAAGAAAGAAGATAATGAAATCTGGAATGAAGTCATCACAAACCTTGACGATTTGCAAAGTTCTCATCATTCCAGAATTCCGATAGTGAATCACTTCATGATTTTCCACTTCAAATGCTCTACTAACCAATATGGCAGTGAAATATAAAGCCCCTATCAACAAAACCTTTGATGAAACAGTATCAGCTTTACACCTCACCTCTATTCGCATAATATATTTTATAGAATTTCTCTAACTTCTGAATATGCTCAATTTCTCGTTCAACAACTTCTTGCAAAAACAAGAAATCGGGATTATGCCTTTACAGAGGAGAAATAAACAATTAAATGATGAAAGACTTACATCTTGACTATTTTATATACAGCCATCATCCTTGTTCTAATACTTCTGGCATCTAACCCATCTATGTTCCAACTCATAACAGTGATCTCCAAGCCCTACAGAAAATGAGAAAAAGAAACGGAAGCTCTAACTTACATCTAAATCTACTGGACCTTCAGAACTCTCCGCTGGTGAAACTGTAGTTGGTACGACCGTTTCCAAAGGATCGCTGTTGAAGTATGAATCTAAAGCGGCCTGCAAAAATAGAATGACTAACACTATGAGTAAGCCTATATACTTCAACAACATAATTTGATTCTTCTAACAACCTCTGAGCAATAACATAGCTTTCGTTAGTTAAAGACATGAACGTTTCAATAGTGCTTTCCTTTTCTCCGATGTCAGACTCATGACCGAAAACGTCAGAACTTGTTGGAGTAAGAAGTTAAGAATTACCATTAGTATCGAAGCTGGAACTGCTATCCATATTACTTCCTCCAGAATCGTTCATTATGTTCGTTAATGCTATGTGTTTATCCGGCCAAATTGCAGGAAATTGTGAAATTACAAAAATATTATGAAAATCATCTGATACATTGTGGTTTTGAACCGTGGTGCGTACAGGTGGGCCGTGGGGCGTCTTCGCAGAGAAACACGCCGCATAGCAGACGTGGAGCAGACTAGCTCCACCTCTTAACAGTTCAAATCCATAAGGATCTGTGGATTTCTAGACATTTTTACCCTAATTTGTAAATTTTTATGTTTTGTTTATTTGCACAACTCTCCATTGATTGTTTGTAGAAGCATTCAGGCTACATCCCACTGAATTTCAGAGATCTCTTACAAGGTTAAAAGCGGACAAACGATGACGGTCCTGAAAGTTAAATTTGGAAATGACATCAGAAAAACTTCTGTACATGGAGAATTGACTTTCAATGATTTAGTTTTAATGATCCTTAGAATTTTCAATATCAAGAATGAGTCTGAGCTTAGTTTGAAGTACAAAGACAGTGGTATGTTCATTTTCGTTTGGGTTTTTGATGACTAATTAACTCTCCAGAAGGTGATCTCATTACTCTTACCGATGATTCTGATCTTATCCTAGCTCTCAATGAGCCATCTTTGACAGTAGAAGTGAGTATTACTTTCCCTTGAAATAATTTTTTGTTTCATTAAGGTTTCATTCGGTACTTCCGATCAAATCATCCAAGATTTGAACCGTCATATCGCTAGTCTTCAGGAAGGCATTCAATCTTTAGCTAGAAGCATTGCTTCAGTTGAACTCCCTGCTAGAGTATACTTTTTTTTATGTATCGGATTTAAGGTTTTGTTTTGTAGAGCTCTTCCCATGCACCAAGTCAGCAAGCAGCTCCAGCTCATATTCCTCCTTCTCCAGTTCCCTCAGAGAAGCCAGAGATCCCAGCTACCATCCAACCTTCATTACAAGAGCAGGTATACCTTTCAATCAGACTCAATTTCATAGTTTTTCTTAGGCTGATGGACATCACACTCGTGAGTTGTCAGCTCCATTAGAGGAAGACATCCCACTCGAAGCTGGAGCTCACGATGGGTTCTCTCAAAACTTTGTACCCGACCCAATGCAAAATCTCCCACCAACTTCCATTCCATCTTTCCCCCAAGCTAGCGTAGCTCCTCCACCATCTCAATTCGATCAAAGGGGTCCTCATACTCCTCATTCATCGGTATCGTCGACTCCTCTTCCACAACAACATTATCATCAGTATCCACCTCAGGGCAACGTTCCTCCACAACAGTTTGACGCTCCACCAACTCACAACGTTTTCAATCCTCATCAACCTCAACAACAGCCACCTTCATTCGCACCTCCTACTTCCTTCGCTCCTCCACCATCAGTAGGAATTCCTCCACAACCTCAAGGCCAGCAACAACTCGGTGGATTCCCTCCTGCCCCAGGAAACTTTGGACCACCACAAGGTCCTCCTCAAAACCAACAAGCTCCACCACAAGGACAGTTCCCACCCCAACACCTTGGTCAACAGTTCCAGGTTTGTGAAAGTATCATGTATTATGCTGAGTTTAAGTTTTTAGGGTCCTCCATCTGAGCCAGCCCCACCAAGTTTGAACAACTACAATGGACCACCAAGCGGTTTCGCTCCACCTCAACAACATGGTGTTCCTCCCCATGGAATGCCTCAACAAGGACCACCCAGTCAAGGACCACCACAAGTTCACCATCACCAAGGAGTTCCACCTCCTCATCTCGGAGGACCACCAATGGGAGGAGCCCCTCTCTCCGGACCACAAGGACCCCAAATGGGAGCCCCACCTATGGGCGGACCTCCAATGGGAGGACCACCAATGGGAGGACCACCAGGAGGTGCCCCAGGAGCACCAGGAATTAATCCATTCGCAAGAGGACAAGCTTTCCGACAATCTCCTTATCACCAATAAGTATAGTCCTGTGAAAGAGTTTCGCTTATGAACAATTAAAAACATGCTACAAGCTGCACTGTTTACTAGTTGTAGTGGAGTGTTAATACCTTTTCTGTAATTTATGCAGTTTTTTGCAACTTGAAGACATGTAACAAAGATATAACTAAGATCTAATTTATATAATTTATACAGTTTTAGCTACTTTTGTTTTCTAATTTATTCGTTTTGGTGGCATATCTTGCGTGTTTGTGGTGATTTCTTCAATAAACATTCAAGTCTTATTCTTTATTTTTACACTTCAATAGTTGCCGTGGAGACCGTCGTAACGAGAGCTCTGTCGGTTATTATATATTGCGGCTTGTGGCAATGGATCGGAAAGAACATCACGTTGATCGAAACGTTGTGTGCATTGCGATGGACAGACCTATACGATCGGCTATTTAACATAAATGTTGCGAATGAATTGACTCACTCTCATGCTGACAGGACGTTTGCTATGCTTGGAAACTTGTCCATTGTTCAGTTGACTAGTGCTTACAAACTAGAATTCGTATAAAATTGAACTTGAGTATTACACGGAATCATATCAATCTTCACTAGAGTAACATGCGGGAATGAGAGAAGTGATTACCCGAATCAACAGAATTATGGTGAATAAAATGGTCAAAGAAGAAAGTAAAATTACAACATGCTAGGCTGAAAACGGAAGAAAGTCAATTGAACCTAAAAGGAGAAAACATAAATATAAAAACATGCAGGTAAAGGGAAGCTCTGAAAATCCTGACGAATCCGGTTTCTAGTTTGCACGCTTACGGCACTTTCTTGGGCATACTTCGACTCCTATTGGAGAAGATCTGTGATAACCTACATCTCCATCTTCGTAACTACCATTAGAAATGAACTAAAAGTATGATAGTAGGAGGGGAAAGCATCATTTGTATATGTGGGAAAGGACAAGCCGTAGCATGCATTCAGTGCACAAATAAAGAACTTACATTCCAAGTCATGCATTGGGTCAAGTTAGAACCGCGAGGACCAGATACTCCAAGTGGGCGAGTGAACCGGGTTGACAGTTGGTTACCTAGAAGTGAGAGTTTTCTAGACTTTACATTATCGTCAGGATACGCTTGTCATGAGAGAGTGAAACTTCGCAAAAGTGAAATGTTCTATCACGGAAGCAACTGAAGGTCGAGATCATACTTACTGTTGAACATAACTCTCTCAGGGACAACGCTCACAGAGTTATCGAATGTTGGAGGTCCGTATCCAGAGGTGTAACCAGTACGGATGGAAGCTTTGTTATTCTGGATGGCAAACAGTACGACTTCCAAATTGCTCTATAAGGAATAGTTTGCATGCTCGAATGTCTTTTTTCAGTTCAGGCGTGCCCTTCTGTGTGAAACAACTTCTAATGTTTTTTTTCTGATGAACAGCAGACTTTGCTATATCCCTAATCACATATCTTTTGCGGAATAGAGAACAAAGGATAGACAGATAAGAGAATTGATAAAGAATATGGTGGTGATTAGTTCATCGCATATCTTATTTTCATTACAGTAGACCGGAAGCGATCCAATGCATATGATATAACAGTCGGAAATAACTGACCATGTTTTCTCCGAACGCAATAGCAGTCCATTGGTTGTTTCCGATATTTTTGTTGATAAACTGTACAGTAAGTTCATTATTGACAACCTGACGATGATCAAGTTTAAAACAGAAATTACCGATTCCAACAAACCTGCCACCGAGCAGACATGTCTTGATTCTCGAATGAACATTGTCCCGCAACACTTGCAACGAATAGAGAAGTCAAAATTATTCGAAACATCTGCAAAAGTTAGGTTTGGAAAATGAAGATGTGAGAATATAAGATAATCAAGTGTATGGAGACATTTCAAGGTTTCAGTCAGGTTCTTTTTGCAGAATCCTAGAGATGCGTTTTATGTGAGTAGAACAGATTTATAACAAGTTCACATTTGAATAAGTGTGAGAACGAAAAACTGGTGATCAAAATTAAACTGAAGAAAGTTTGCAATGCTAAGAACTTAAGAGAACCGTCTTATAACGTTAGCAACAACTTCTAACATAGCTCCTCCTACTTTCTCTTTTTCATCTTCTCTCTCATTTTTCCAGTTAGTTAGGCCGTCCAGGAAGGAAATAGCAAACGGAGAAGCAAGAGATGAAGAATACATTCGATTATGCTTTCAAATGATCTCAGGTTCAGAAGCTACCTGGTTTGAAAGCCTGTTGATCTAATTAACACATGCTATCAGTCGCCAGGAAATTCAGACAAGCGATTAGTCGCCTGATTAGGATGCATAATAGTGAATGATCTTTCTAAAACTTTAAAGCTCATACACAAAATAGACATCTGAGAGAGATAGTCATGATAAGCCGATAATTACAGTTCATCGATTCACCCTTCAAGAAATTCTCCACTATTTAACCCAAAAATTATATTCACGTGAAAGTTTGCGAAGTGACAGATTTTGGTTGGAGTATTGGGACATTTGGCACATGTTGGAAGAACTAACAAACTGAAAAATAAGCAAATAGATAGATTAGAAAGTTCGGAAAGAAGTCATTTTCCATTTCTTTTATACTTGTCCTCAACATCTATCTGTACAGAGTGGGCGGGAGAGAATGTGATTCAGGTACAATAGAACAAGAAGCAATCACAATATGTGTTCTGAAATTTTTTTTTTCTCGTTCATGTAGAATTAGATCTTCAATTGACTCAAATATGCGTTTGGGTATTATTTGACGATTTTGAGAAGAAATTGACACATATCCTTCACGTGTACACTATGGCATACTGAACCAACAAAAACTTTGATAAGGTAAACGAGGTGACATGAAGCGTTCTGTTCTATGAAACCTTACGCCTATGTTTGTAAGCATGCATTAGCCGAATGAAAGAGTCATCCTTGCATTCGCCAATTTTCATAAAATCAAAATTAGTTATTTGTTTATTCAAAAGTTTTAAAACAAACGACGAATCACTTCTCTCGTCAGCAAGACATGACATCATTATATTTGAAGAAAAACTTGGCGAACACAATCAACTTTTTACTTTTGTGTCTGATCGGTTGAAACAGCTTCTTCTGTAAATATTCCGAGGAAAGTACAAAAATCATTTCAAGCACTTTTATTTCTGAAACATATATCACAGTTTTCAAACCCGTAAGTATTTGTGCGGTAAAAATTAAAAGCTCAAGCAAGTCCAGTAATTAGCGTTATATCTACAAATACAATGGCTGGCTTGCCAATGTTCTTACAATCCACCTCACACAACGATCTACGTTAGTGCCTTCTATAGCAGAAACGGGAATAACAGCAAGATCTCCTGAATGGTGATCATCCTGCAGAAACATACGCACCTGCAATGAAAAAGAAAACTATGCAACGAGTATCATTTTCATACCTCAGCTGCGGGAGCAGCACCGTCTACTTCACTCTTATTAACAGCAACCAGAACAGGTAAATCATGAATGAGTTCGCTGGCCATTACGTCCTCTTAAGCATTTAAATAAATTCAATTTGTCTCAGATCAACATACTAAAGACATTCGCAACAGTTTCAAACTGATCCCGTCGAGTAGCATCCACGACAAAAATGACTGCATTAGCCTCACTGTAGTAAGTACTCCACAAAGACCTCAAATCTTCCTGACCACCCAAATCCCAGAAATTCAAGCAAGTATTATTCAATTCAACTTTGCCAACTTAGAGAAAGATAATATTAGAAGTGATTGAAGACATTGTAACTCACTGTTAAGCCCAACTGTACTCGTTATTTTGGAAGGATTCACTACTCCGTAATCCTTGATGAAATGAGACTTAGTTTGTTCCAAGAAAGTCTAAACGGAATGCATTAGCGCATAAGCTTTTCACTTTCATACCGTTTTACCAGCATCATCAAGACCGACGATTAAAACGTAATAATCTTTTTTCTTGAAGAACTTTTCCCAGAGGCCAGCAGAAAGCGTATACATAACATCAGTACATCAACTTTCGTTGGTCCTTAAAAAGAGGAGCTTCAATTTTCAGAACGAACGTGGAATACGAAATATACTTTGAGAAAAACATGGAAATCGCAATGTGTCAAATATGCCATATCGTGTTGAGACCAATATCCCTTTCAAATAAGATTGAGTGTTGAATTAGAGATATACCGACAATAATTGTGGATTGAAGGCTATGAGAGATCGAGGGGAAGTTGAAGGAACTCTATATGATCGGGAATGCCTAGTTAGTTTGCGAATACAAACAACAGATAAGAAAAAACCGAACCATCTCGTATGTCACACGACGATCAAAAACAACTCCCTGTCAAAGCAAATTACAGAGAAATGCTAGCAACATTCAATATCATACAGAACTACTGATTGTGGAGAGAAATATGACAGCAGAAGAACGACCGCTAACTTCACCTATGAATGTTCAATGAATTTACTTCACGTCACGAATGCACAGCCGCTCTTCGGAGTTTTATTCTTTTGGAATGAAAACGAAGCGATGAGCAACCGATCACTATTTCATTAATGGTCAAAATGAAAAGATGTGCACAATCAACAGCTTTCTAAATGTAAAAGAATGATTTCTTTATTCTTTTCACTTTTCATGTTCAGTTTGAGTTAGCGGTGGTTGCAAACGAAGCATTGAAACGGAATCATTTCTTTCTTCAAAATCAATCAATTAACATCAGATTTTTTGCAATTAATTTATGAAGAAATCTCAGTATGTTCCACATGAGAGCTGCAGGCTTCTACGACATTATAGTTAAAGGTCGGAACTGTATCAGGTCCCGTATGGAAAGCTTAGATATTAGAGAAGTATAGCAGAATTCGTGCTTCAAAATATTTATTACTAGGTTTACGTAAGCTCTTAATAATTATAATTATACATACAATCGTATGATTTCATCTTTCTGTCTCTGACAATGTTGTAACGTTTGAACTAATCAGTAGTTAAGTTTAGATGTTTTTCCACTTGGCATTAGAGCATGAAGTGTGCTTACATCCAAAATACTTCGGTCCAAACCTAAATGAAACAATCAAAATGAAATTATTCAACGAAGTAACGATTTAGTTGTAATCGAAAGTTTTGAAAATGATTAATCTGTTAAGGTAGAAGGAACATGCACAGGTAAGCATGGTTTTGTTATCGCCGTAACAACAATTGACACAATTGGTCACGGAATCATTCAACCAGGTTTCTAGTCTAAACTATTTCCTTTACAAGTTTGATTCTGTGTAGGTAGAGGTTTTGTTATTTATCCTGTGAAGTATAAAGCCATCGTTTTTCGGCCGTTCAAAGGTCAGGTTGTAGACGCAGTAGTTAACCAGGTGTGCAAACTTATCTAACAATATGTAAACTTGAGTTAAGGTTAACAAAGTTGGAATATTTTGTGATGTTGGACCATTGTCTTGCTTTATTTCAAGGCATTGTATACCTCCAGATATGGAGTTTGATCCCAATTCTAACCCCCCATGTTATAAAACTCAAGACGAATCTGTAGTTATCAAGCAAGACGATGAAATCCGAGTACTCAGTTTTAGTATGGCTCGATAATTCATTAACTGATTTAGGTGAAACTGATAGGAACCAGGGTGGACGCTAATGATATATTTGCCATAGGAACATTAATGGATGACTACTTGGGATTATGCGCAACTGAATGAATTTACTATATTTGTATTTAACTAAATATTGATCTCCTTATCTGTTCATTTCATTATGCTTCGGCTTGCTATGCTTGAAATACTTTCATCATCTTACATGAGTGTCTTTACAATTGCTCTTTGTTAAGGTTAGCAATGGGATTCAAGGATTGGGCGATGTTTGATGAAATCCGTCGGATGGATATTCGACAGATCATCTATCAGGTAATGATCCTTCTTCTTCTGTTATCATATCAAATTTGTGTAGGGATTGAATTTTGCTATGGTGGTTTCTTCCGCTCTCATGATCTGGAAAGGCCTCATGGTTGTTACTGGTTCTGAAAGCCCAGTCGTCGTTGTTTTGTCTGGTTAGTTGATTGTGCTTCTGATTTCGGTAACTTTTGAGTTACAGGGTCTATGGAACCTGCTTTTTACCGTGGAGACTTACTTCTATTAACTAACGATTATTCTGATCCTATTCGCGCTGGTGATATTACTGTTTTTAAAATTGATGGACGAGATATTCCTATTGTTCACAGAGTTATCAAGGTTAGCAAACAACAGCAGTACGCAACGGACATGTTTTTATAATTCAGGTTCACGAGAAAGATGCTTCTACAACGAAATTCTTAACGAAAGGAGACAATAATCAGGTTGATGATCGAGGACTTTATGCTCCAGGACAATCTTGGCTCACCCGAACCGATGTAGTAGGCAGAACGAAAGGAATTCTCCCATACGTAGGAATGGTAGGTGTTGTGTTCATGATTTCCCTAATTTTCGTATTCAGGTTACAATCCTCATGAACGATTATCCTAAGCTGAAATACGCTATCCTTGGAGTTCTGGCCTTGTTTGTCATTTTGCATAGGGAAAAGTAAAAAGGAGCTTGTTCATAATGAAACGGTGTTGTCTTAATTATTTATTATAACAGTTGGGGGTTGTAAATGAATTATTTATTCGTAAACAGTATTACATATGCTTTTTTTACACCCCGCATTTAATAATAATTAGGTATGGTGCGTCGAGTGCTCATATCAATCAAGATCCTCTAGATCAGAAAGATTACGTTCTCCTGCACTTCGCGGAACCTAAGCAAAAGATAAAAGAATCATATTTGCTGTCTTTAAACTTACTGGACTAGAAGTATTCCAAGCTTGGGGGTTTACACGTTGTCTGCAAGAATATAAATGTCTGAGAGGCAAGTTAGAATTGAAATACCTGCATATGGGACAAGAACGTTGCTGTTTTAACCAGGGCTCAACACATTGTTGATGGAAAATATGCATACAGTTCAATTGAGCTACTGATTCACCTGAAGATGATCGTACGGAAGATGAAAAATGATAGGTTTTACCTAGTTTAAACAGATCAAGACACGTTGAACATTGGGTTTCATCCTTTACATGATTCTCAGTTACTTCAATGATAGGGATAGATCGTAGTTGTTGATCTGATAGACCATTCAACGGCTGATCAACCTGAACAATAAATAAGAAACAGTTCAGCTTCGCTTCAATTACCACATGAAATAGGTCTTGCATTATTCGATCCATGCTATTCAGGACGGTTTCTTCCGTTCCAAGTCTTAGAAAGAACTTTCAACGAAGTGATTCAATAGATGCTCACCTAATCTGCCTTTCCCCTGATCCCGTCATTTGTACTTCCAATGTGATTGGACCCATATTCAAAGTATTTTCCGTCTTGAATGAACTGCGTTTCAAGAAAGCAAGGAAATTCACTTACAACTCTCCCGCCTTCGACATCTAAAAAAGTGTTGGATGCAACAGTCGCGCTCAAAGCCCGTAGCACATTATTCTGAGAAAGCATATGAAACATTGAAGATGTGGCTAAGACTTACAACAACATTGGCGACGACTGATTGGTCCCTTACGGCTTCTGAAGATGTAGAATTTGGATCCGCATTAGGCCTCTGTGTTGGCACCCGAGTCCAATTTGAAGGTCTATTAGAGTTTGTAGGTGGGATTGTATTGGCATTTGCATTTTGGGTTGTATTTTGTGTGGGGGGTATAGGGTTCGACCGATTAGTCGATCTAGGATTTGATTGACGACGAGGTGCTTCAGAAGCCTCTCCCTGAAACTCTTTAGTGTAAGGACAAGAAAAGCTTATGATACCGGAGGCACTCTTCTTGTTCGCCGTGCTCTTGAAGACTCTCTGCTTCTGTTTGAATTTGATCTCCTTTCTACAACTTCCACGAATTCGCTTCCGCAAACTGTGCAAGATGTCTATAAGGAATTGATTACCAATAGATAGAGTGAACTTCATCATACTTGAGTTAACGGCATTCGCATACCACATTCGTGACATATTGTCAGTGTGCTCATAATTTAATAATATATATTTTAGAAATTTGATTTATATTATGGTAATCTGAAGAAGAAAGTTATTATCAGATCGATTCAAACAACAATTTGAAATTCCATAATCATATAACATAGAGCTTTTTGGCGCGCGATTCAAGAACTCTTAACTCAAGCATATTGAAATTTAAAACCGAAAACCATGGTGATATCTCATCAGAGCTTCGCTCTCCATATGTTGAACTGAACATCGTACCGCGTTTTTCGTTGCCGAAGCAGATTCGTCGATGAATGAAGCAACCTAATGCGCGAAGGTATAGAACTGTATGACTACAGATTCAGGTTAGCAATGTGAGAACAAGTTAAAAAACAGTTCATTGATAACAAAAAACAAACAATATCGCATAATGTGTAACATCAACAATAACAATTCGGTATAAAATAAGAATATTCCATAGCTTCTTACTTCCTGCGATTACCCTTGGATACATTTGGGTTTTTTCTTTGTTTGCCTATCGATCTTATTCCAAGAAGTGCAGATCTGTAATGTTCCAACGTTTTTGACTTCATCAATTGCAGAACTTTACCTCGAAGTTGTATCGTGCATGGAGAAAGGTCCATCTGCTAGGGGATCGAGGTGTACTTTGGCCATTCGGTTTTGAGGTATGCGTTGATCTTCGAACAGTTTTTCGTCAGTCTATCAAAGAATATATTCATGGAGAAACTGTAAACTCAAAACATACGGAATGCTTTCCACCCTTTGGTGCAGCTAAGGCGTACTTAAGACCACGCTTGTTCGCTAACCTTCTGTAGTTGAGATGAAGAATTTGCTCCCCATTTTCATCTACAGAAACTGGGCACTTAATAGTTTCGTATTAATTCTTTTCATCAAGTTAGATATGAACTTTATATAAGGATTTGTTTCCACAGGAAGGACAAAACTCTTTTTCCATATTAGTAGTGGTGTTATAGCATGCTCGACATCTGAAAAACAGGATGATGGTTAAGAGATACCCACAAGACAAGATCACCTGAGGAGGAAAGATCTAAGTTTTCTTATCCTTAATCCTTCTAAAGAAACAAGACCGAGATGCATAAACAACAAAACGTTTTGTAGAGCGAAATCAGTTGATAAACATCCGACAACTAATTCCTCGGAAACCTTAAGTTTTCTGTTTTATTTGTATGAGGTGCATGTCTTATAAACCTCAAAAGCTCCTAATTTCTTCAGAGCACCCGCAAGATTATCTTCGTTTATCCAGCCTTCGTCGTCGTCACTATCTCCCTACAAACAAATTCCATATTATTGTTAACATTAACTATATGATACGTCTTCACAAAATCCTTCGGGCAGCTTATTACGCTCATCTTCAGAACCTTCTTCACCCTCTTCTTTATCCTTTTCTTCTGCTGCTGCGGCATTGGCTTCTTCCAACTAAAATCAATCGTTTCTTCCTGTTGCTATGATAAAGAAGCTATCACCTTTACTTTTTCTTCGAGTGCTTTGGTGACTTCTGCCAAATCTGTCTCGGAAACCTATAACACACAAGGGATGATGATCATGATGGAAGTAACTAACCTCTGCTACAACTTTATTGCTGAACTCGTTCATTAACTCAAAAGTCAGAGCCAAGACCTTCATATCAGGGCCTGACAATGATTTGAAGTCTCCAGTTTGCTTAGCAGCATCGATTACTAAAATTCAAAGCAATAAGTATCCAGGACTGAAAACGTACCAGCTTTAAGTGATTTGGGTGATGGCTCTCTGAATTTGATCTCGAATGGTAACAATTCCAAAGCAATCTTCGACTTCTTCCATTTCAACTCTTTGATTATATCAGGTGGAGCATAATAGTTATCAGCAAGATGCTGGAACGCACAAGGTAATGAAAGAATAATTGGATAAAACTCACATGGAGGTTCACGTTAGCGATGATAGCTCCTGTATCGAGCACTAAGTGCTTGATTAACTTTTTTCTTCCATGTTTGTCTGTTTGTCTCGAACTGTCCATTCTGTCAAAGGTTGTTTTCAAAATAAACTAATGTTATGGGACCACTAGCTTGATCAAATGGCTAATACAACTTCTCGCTCTTATCAACTCACTTGGGGGAACAGAATTTCGTCAGGGAAGTTTATTCAATAATTTAATTTTCTCACGAGTACACGCCACTCACGTCAAGTCTCCTGACGCGTTCTCGGTGTCTCCTGCTTAAAGCCACTTTGCTTTAAAATTAATTATTTCGAGCTTAAATGTAGAAACCATCTGAAAGATTATCATTGAGACTCGTACATGTGAAGAGAAGAACACATTAAGTTCAAAGATTATCAAAACATATCAATGAAACATTTAATTAATGAACATGAAACTTCGAATTAGCAAAATGGCTGGTTCGAAGTGTTCCCTCAAACTTTTATTTCTCAGCTCCTCTGTTTTATGGAGTTTTTATCTTTGAACGTTTGATTGTCGTCAAGAATTGACGAGTTTGCTTCCATTTTGTGACTGTTCCTTCATTAACAACACAGAAATTAACCGAATGATTGATTATTACTTGCAGATGTATTAGTTTTGTTCATTCTGAGTTCTTGGGGATTCTATATTTATGCTTGCCTAATATAAGTATTTTGTGTCTGGGTACTTCTCTGTACATTTAACATGCGTGTCGATCTTCATCCTGTATATTTGGTTTCATTAGAATTACATTCGTTATTGAACGTTGATATTAGTACGAAAGGGTATTACCAGGTAGTTCCTATTGCTGGTCCCTTATAAACTGAGAATATTTAAGATTCGCTTCTCTTCCAAACCATCACCAAATGTTTTTTCTTCTGTTGATATATGTTGTTCCGAGGGGAATACATCCAAGAATGGCATCCTACCTTCCACAGTTTTTAATGCGACTGCTATAAGCAGGACTGTGGAACTGACGTACGTCGAGGAACTTATGAAATTAGGTTTATTCATCACAAAAGCCTTTCCTAATACCTTATTCAGGGGATTGTTTCCATATAATGGTTAAATTACTTCCACAACGTGACTTCTCCAAAGCTGTTCGTCTCCAGATTCTGGTTGAACTTTGGTATTCCCCAACGCATGCTTTGTTGCAAAAATATGCTGAGTCTTCCCAATTTAGGTCCATGGAGTGTCATCGGCCCCCTCAGAACGAACTTTTTGAGCTTGACAGCAGTCGTTTGGTAGAAATCGAACTGAATCCCACGAGGTAAAAAAGTTGATGTTTGCTCCGAAAAAAAAACTTGCTCGCCATTCAGATTGACGGCGGTTGCTCGGACGATTTGTTTTGACTACAAAGCTCCTTCCGTTCTCTCCTTATCTGTTTTTGTCTCTCTAGTTTCTATAATGTCTCAAAGAAGGAAACCCCCTCCCGATCCAGTATGTGTTCCATTCTAAGCTTTTCCTGGAAGATCGTTTCCAGGCAATATCCGATGGTTTACGGGAATATTACAAAAACATGACGAGCACATTACTAAAATCGATGAAGTCCATTGAAAATTTCATAAAGCATTATGAAAGTCTCCTAAGTACGGTTGTAAAGTTTGGTGAGGCAAAGGGGAATATGAGAGAGGAATTTAATGAATTTGTAGAGAATACAGATGTTTCATTAGAAGAAGCCACTCTACTAGCTAAGCTGGAATCTTCTGAATCACCATGGTCAACATTGGAAATCACCACAGTCGATTTGAGCAAACGATTACACGAAGTGTTCAGACAGTTTTTGGACTTGTTTTCCAGATCACAAAGTCAGATAGAAACTTCCTTATTGTGTTATATGGTCTTTCAGATCTCATAGCTAAGTTGAATAGTCAATATTATGAGTGGAGACAACGATTATTAGGAGAGGCGTTCTTTTTTAACGAAAGATCTTTGGATGAACTAAAGTCCGTTTTACCTTATGTTATACCTGAGGTAGTTTAAATAAATACTCGAATGACTGATACTGGCCTATTTCAGCTTATAACCCAGCTATCTAAAAGCAAATACCTCCAGAGTTTCACGCAGTACCCTGTATCCTGTGCTGCTGTTGACAGCCCCGGAGATCTTTGGTAGGTACTTTCCGCCTGCCTGACCCTTATTTTGTACTTCTTTTTCAGCTCCATAATTTTTGAAGAACGTTATAAGAAAGAAGCTGAGAAAAAAAATATCATCCAAACAGATGACGTTTGTTACTAACTTGACATTCACTTCATCCTAATCCCTTTTCAGATATCATCCCGTATTAGTCAAAGTTCTAAGTGGAAACGTAGTGGAGTTTCGAAGTCTCTACGTTTGCCAAAGTTTCAAAGTAAAAGTTTCGAAAGTCAGTCAAGCAAAAGGTTTGCTTTTCTCATTCCCCTCTCCTTTCTGGAAAGTAGAAGGATTCAGCGTTGGAAAACCTCGATTGAGCGTCGATGTGGATTCAAATGAGTTTACTCTGGTGGTCCCTAAAGTTGATCAAGCGGGAGGTGATGCAGGTTAAAAAACATTTGGTCCACTAGACGTCAATGTTCAGCTGCTGTGTTTTCAGAATCCCCAGAAGCCTCAAGTCGGTCAACTACAGATGGATCAGAAACAAAAGCTTGTTTTGCTACTTATAATATATTACCAGCAGGTGACACCGTGAGTGGTTTTTTCAAGTTTTTTTGTTTCACATAAATTTGACGTCACAGGAGCAAATGGCTAAGCTAGTCCATTTAGTTGGTGAAAGAAAAGTTGTTAAGGGCAAATTGAGCAATTATCAGTATGAGGGACTACTCTATAGGTTTTCTAAAACAATAGTGCAATTGTTTTGATGACATCATGTTTTTTAGCGAATTAGCATTTCCTTCTCTGCGTCCAGCAGCCCTGCCACAAATAGATGTTGATAAGAAAAGGATCCGATATGAATCTCCCCCTCATCTGATAATTTTCGTTCATGGACTCGAAGGTTGAAATATTTCATAATGTACGTCAGAGATTACGAACATCTTCAGGCTCCTCTGACGATCTTATGTCTTACAAAAATTCGCTGAGAATGACGTCGCCGGAAACGAACTTCCAGTTTCTTATGAGCTCAGCCAATCAAAGTCAAACATGGGCAGATTTTGAAACACTTTCAAGCAATTTGTTGGGGGAAATCCATGATTTCTGCACAGATATGACACAGAAACCGAACCGTATTAGGTATTCCTTAGCAATCCATCTATGTTCATCAACAGCTAATTGATGTTTTTGTTCACTACATCCCCGTTTTTCAGTTTTATAGCCCACTCCATGGGCGGCGTAATCGTTCGAGCGATGTTAGGTTTGCCTGAGGCGGGATGGATCTTTCCTCTACTTCACACATTTCTCACTATAAACTCTCCCCATACAGGTCTTGCTTACGCGGGGAGAGGTGTTAACTGGGGAGTACAACTAGTGCAATGGTAAGACCATATAAAGAACTCGAACTGTCATAACGACATAAAGGATAATGTGACAAGGAAAGCCAGTATTTCAAGTCATGTGACCTAATATGTAACACTGGAAGCTGTTATCTTTTACCGTTTCAGGTGGAAAGGTTCCAAATCAATGCAACAACTAGCCCTTCGAGATGCCGTTTCTTTCAATGATTCGTACATTGTGAAACTGTCATCGAATAAGGCTTTCGGCCGTTTTAAACATATTTTATTAATTGGAGGGCCAAGTGAGAGCGAAAGTAAACAAGTGTAATCAGTAGTTTTTTAGATGATCTTTTCGTCCCCCATCATTCAGCCTTAATCGATCAGTGCAAGACATCATCTAAAGATGTGTCAGCGTTGGGATACGCCTACAGGTCAGTAAGAGTAAAGAGTTATGTGCGTCAACATCAGCATCGGAGATAATGACGATGGTAGTGATGAAGCAGATGTACCGGAGATCGTAGATGTGAGAGCGATGGTTGATATTATGAAAGAATTCGAACATCTGTGTAAATGAACGACCTTTTATTTTGTTGGAAAGCTTTGTGTGATGGGTGGCATGATAGAAGCGACAAATCTCTTTTTGTTGCTGAAAATGTTGTTTCAGAGAAATGCTGGAAAAAATCCATGGAGACTTGGTTTCGAGTGAAATCACACAAACTGTTGTTAAATACTCAACATACCATCTAGGGGTCTCAAAGAAGGCGATAAAGATAGCAGGGAGAGCTGGTAGGTTTTCAAGGCAGTTCGTTACTGTTTTGCTGATTGTCTGGGTGCTTATCAAACACAAAAAGATTCTTGATAAGAATACAAGAGGACAAAAAGACAAAGAAGAAATAAAATTAAAATACTTACAGCTCACTTGGCTGCGGTGGAGGATGACGTATTCATAGAAAAACTACTGTCCAAGTCTGCTTTGGAATACTTTGTTTGAAATAAACTGTTTAAACTATGTTATCTATAATTTTTTATTCGCGGCCAGTTTTACAAAAGGAGTTACAATTAAAAAAGTATAGAAAAAGGAGGCCTGTTTATGTCGCAAGGAATAGATCAACTGCATCACTACAGCTTAAAGAATGATCAAGGGAGATAGCAAGATGTAGAAGTTAGTTGGTTAAAACGAATAAAGCGATGTTGAGGCTTAAATAGTATAAGACATGGCAAAATATTTAGAAGTATCGATCGTCTCTGGAGTGGCGTCTGGAGCAAGAACACGGAATCCTATGTAACGTAAAGTTCTAGGGAAACCATGTTCGATGGTGTTAGACGACTTCTCGAAGAGGGCAAGAACCTTCTCCAAGCCTGAAAAAATAAGGTTTAATTGATTTTTTCCGTATTCATACACTCACCTAGTTCTTCTTCGGAGTATTCAAGCAAAGCAACGAATTTTTGCTTGGATACAGCAAGAGGATCTTGTGTAGACGGAATTATAAGAGCGAGAGACTTCTCATCAGCCATACCCCATGACCATTCTTTAGAAACAGCAGCTACGCGAGTTGATACCTGTGGCGATGTTAAAAAATAAAACTTCGAATGATTACGAAAAACTTACATCATTCCTTCGACTTTCAATGCATGGGGGGACGTCAAAAACACCATCCGACCGCGGTGCCGCCGGTCTCACAGCTATAAACACATAAAATTAGTGAAACATATAGCTATATAAGGTGTTTGCCACCTAGCTAATCACTTACGTATTAAAGGATTTACTAAACGTAAAATTACTTGAAATGCTTGTAGCCATTATGAAATAGTAATCAGAGTTTGGAAGCGCAAGAGAAAAATCAGTTGACTGACTGGTGAATGTGCGGACGGCCCTCGCGCCGCGCTTTATATACACTATGATTCTTTGCGTCTCTTGCTGCCACACACTCTCTCGTCTGTTATCGACCGGGCTGCTACGCGTACTCACGCGCGTACATCTCTAGTATACGGTAGTTTGGAAGTATTCCAAAATTCCATTATTGATTTTCTGTTTACCGTTATTTATTTTTGCGCCGGTATGTGCGATTGTTAACGTCGTCCAGAATTCCGGTTTTAAAAAAGGAAATTGTCTGCGTCACATCAATTCGAAGCTTGCGAGCTTCGAAAAGCAAGAAAACCGTCAATAATAATGATGAAACAGGTTACGGGTACGCAACACTAGGTTATTAGGATCTAAAAGAGCGCGTCCTTAACGAATTTGGGATCGCCGTTATCATGTCAATTCCGTATAATTTTGTGATAATATTCGTCATTCACTGTCAACGTCTTCTTCGTGACCGCTCGTCGTCTTATATATCTCGATTCACTTTATATTTCTAGAAAGGGTTGTTAATCAGGGATTTTTTTAATTATCTGGTAATGTCGTACTCCATATTTGACGACATTCCAAAACTAGACGGGTGTTCTTCTTCTCAATTAAAGGTTTTTTGAATACGAGAGAAAGATGATGAGCTCTAACTATGATATGTTGCAGTTTCTAATTCAAAGGTTTATCGAACATTTCATATTTGAAGATGCTCTGCTTCTATCAGAATTGCTATACGAACGAGGTGAAAACTAAGATTTCTTTATTTTCATGAAGTTTAATGTTTTGTTTCCAGTAAAAACAGATGAAAATCTTGTTATATTATGTGACTGTTTATTAAAATTATCGCGAGCAGATGAGGTTTTCGATCCGTCAAAACTTGTCCTTCTCGAACTTCGTTGTTTTAGGTTTACAATCTCCTTAAACCATTACCGAAAGACCATCCAAGCATTCGTTATATTTTCGCCAAATGCTGTTTCGATTTAAAAAAGTTTGGTTTGTGACTTGCTTGACTTGCTAACTTGTTTGAATTGCAGATATGAGGAATGCGAGCATGTGCTGTTTAATGAAAATCTTGAGCTGCATCCGTCTCTTGCAGGAAGTCCAACTTCTCCATTCGCTCGTCTTCTCCTATGTAATGTTTTGATGTAAGTTCGAGACAGAACTGAACCCTCTATTGTAGAATTTGTTAATTTTTAAGTGAAACTGGCAGAATTGAACATTCATTAGAGGAATGTGCTAAATCTGTGAGAGAAAATCCCTTTTCATGGTCTTCAATAACATCGTATATAAGGGTTTGTCGTTAACCATGCCTGTATATAGTGAATGCATCATCATCTTGTAGGTCGGCGGGAGGAAGATTTCCGAGTTAGTCGCTGATAATGATAGTCGTGGAAGAATAATAGAGAATGAGCCTTTATTGGACACACCAGAAGAAGAAAAGAGCGTAACGCCTGTCATTTTATGTCCGGTTCCGAAAGTTGGAATATGCGCTCCTAAGAAATCCCGAGTTTCTGAGGTACGGTTTCAATTGTGTGTTTCTCAGATATCAATTCAATCTTGCAGATAGCAGAAACGAGAAGGAGTTCTCGGTTAGTCAACCAAGATCGAGAGAATGTAGTAAACGCTACTGCGAGAGTTAGTGTGCAACCAAGAACAGGAAAGGTAGGGTCGATGACAATTATTTTTTGACTGTTCGAATATATTACAGCTTCGTAACTTTACACGAAGTGAACTTACTCCTACTGTGATAGGAACTAGATCGGAGAGAACTTCTACGTCAAGGTTTTTTCTAAGTCCAAAGTTTCCACCTTTTTTCTTCATTGCAGGAAGTCACGAGATGCTAAACAACCTTTGGCTTCTCGCAGTTCAAATGCGATGAGGTCTCTCTCTTCTTCTTCAACCAGTGTAGCTTCAATTTCAACAATATCTACCTCAGATAAGGAACCAGCTGACGATCTTTCAAAGAGAGGCAATCCACTTAGTCCTTTAACAAGTCAGTACATCAACGCCTCCTCCATAAAAGGGTAGTTTATAGGAGATGTATATGATAGTTTGAAAGTGCTAGCGGCCATTGAAGAAGCTGTTTGTACATATAAATGGACTGAAGCGGGAAATTTATTGGGTAATTGAAATGAGATATAGATGGGTCGTTTATCTTCATATTTCAAATGCAGGATCTTTACCGAATATCGTGAAAGAGCATGCTGTTACCTTACACTTATGTGCTCGAATGAAATTTGAACAAGCTGAATATGCAGCAGCTCGTGACATAATTCAGCGACAGAGACAGAAATATCCTCACCGTCTCGAGGTTTGCAAATCGCCAACGTATCATGGGAAAAATTTAATTCAAGGGAACCGAACTCTTATCCACTGCTTTGTGGCACCTACAAGATAATTATCGTCTCTCACAACTTGCCCAGGAGCTTTGTACCAAAGCTCGAAAACGCCCGCAGACTTGGTGTGTAGCCGGAAATTGTTTCTCCCTTCAAAGACAGGTGAGGAAGTTTTCGTTTTAGCAATTCTTATAACTACTCTTGTTGCAGCATGCTCTTGCTGTTGAATGTATGGAACGAGCTATACTATTAGATCCCCATTTTGCATATGCCTACACACTACTTGGTCACGAACTAGTTTTCCAAGAGGAATTAGATAAAGCAGCGAAAGCTTTCAGGTTTCGTATCAGAAATTATAATTGCGAACAATGATTTTTACAGAACCGCATTAAGCATATCACCAAACGATTATAGAGCTTGGTATGGGCTAGGGCAGGTTCATCAACGAACAGAGCAGTTATCATTAGCTCAGGTGATCTCATAATTCAAAAAACCAATCGAATGTCCACATTTTCAGAATAGTATGGCGCAAGCCTTAAAAATTAATCCTAATAGTCGTGCCATACTTTGTACATTAGCTCAGGTCGAACAAGCCCTGAATCGTCCTGCCAAAGCTATGGAGCTGTTGAATACGGTAAACATAGATGAAGTCTGTCTTTCGATGGTTGTTGTTTTTAGGCTCTTGAACTGAATCCCAATGACGTAGCTTGTAGATACAATCGGGCGAGATTACTTTATGAAACTAAACAGTAAGTCAAAGTAAACTTCATTCGAAAGTAATTTTTACATCTTCATCAGGTATGACAAATGTGTCGAAGAATTGAACGAATTGAAGGGACTCTCACCTGATGAAGCTTATATATTCCACTTACTAGGTGAGGACTGTCCAATAGCTTCTTTCTTAATGTAATAATCGTTTAGGCAAAGTACATAGAAGATTGGGTAACACGCATCTTGCTCTATTGAATTATAGCTGGGCTACCGAAATGGATCCACGGGGTGAACAAATGCTTGCTCATGGCGCTGGTGGAGAAAATCCTTACGACGATGAGACATATTCTCCTGAAGCCGATTAATTTTTCCGGGTACTAATATATAATGCTCAGTTTTACAATTTGTTGATCTAGTTTTAATACGGGCGTTGTTCTTTTGTCCTCCTGTGGACCTCGCCATCACTGTCTTATTCGTGTGCTTGAAACTTACACATCTAACCACAACTACATATTCCACACTAATACGCAATCTCTTAGCTTTTATTTCGTTTTTTGTGAGCTGTGACCTCTCATTCAGTACACTCTTCTTTCGTTCTTTCATTGTATATTTTAGGTTTTCTCATGAATTTTGTAAATAAGAAAGTTGAAACGTGTTTTTCAAGAATTGTGGTTTCATCAACCAAAGATCTTCTATTTTCGTGGTGTTGTTATACGATGCTTAGTTATCTGATTGCCCTTTTCAGGCTCATTTTTGAGAGTTTAGAAGAGTTATTTAGCTCTAATTCCCATTTTAAAAGGTAAAGCATATCAAACCCTAAGAATCAAGTGATGCCTGAGTTATACCCTAAAGCCATAGAAAGCGATGGTGAGGAGATACCTGAGGAGGAGGAAGGTCTAGACAGCGATGACGACGTCGAGGTTCATACAAGTTCTTCACGGTTGTGATTATATCGGTATTAAAGGCGGTAACCATAAAAAAGAAGAAGAAAATTGCTGGTGCTTCTTCTGAGTTCTCATCTAATTTCTTCTTCGAAGGATTCAGTGGACAGAAAGAAGACCGTGAAACAGAAGATTTGAAAAAGTCTGTTATGCTTCTAGATTTTTGTTTTCATTCTCATTTAGATATCTGAGATCGAGTGTCAAATCAACTTTGGATGAAAAGATTGCTGAGGTAGGCACGTCTTCAACGAACACAACGTAACTTCTTGTATCAGGTCCGTAAGCTGAAGAACAGTGCTCGTGAAGTAGACATTGAAAAATTGGAAGATAGTGATAATGACGTGGAGCAGTTAGGAGGAAAAGAAGTCAAAGGTGTGTTCTTCTGTTGAAACAGATTTATATAACCTCTTCATAGATACTATTCGTGAAAAGAAGAAGTTGGGAAGAAAACAAAAAAGTAAACCTGACAGTTTCTTCGAAGAACACATTAAGCCAGATGAAGACACTTTAACATTCGAACAGATGAATCTTTCTCGACCCATATTGAAGGTTTATTGAATGAAGCTTGATTGTCGTCACCGACGAATGTTTCAGGCTATTGGATCGGCAGGCTATTCTGACCCCACTCCCATCCAAGCTTCTTGCATTCCTGTAGCTCTTACAGGTTTCCGTTGTAGTTTCTGTATGCTCTTAAAGTTACAAAATTTAAGGAAAAGATATTTGCGCTTGTGCTGCTACGGGTACTGGTAAAACTGCAGCTTTCGTTTTGCCTATTTTGGAGCGTCTTCTGTTTAGAACTAATGAAAGATCTAGAACTCGTGTTCTTGTACTTGTCCCCACAAGAGAATTAGCCATTCAAGTTTTCCAAGTAATTTTTTCCTTTTATGATGAAGCTTAGTTTTGTCTTTCAGGTTTTCCGAAAACTTTCCGGTTACTCGCAGTTAGAAGTTTGTCTATGCGCTGGAGGTCTTGATTTGAAAGCGCAAGAAGCTGCTCTCCGAAGTGGACCGGATGTAGTTGTAGCAACACCTGGACGATTGATTGACCATCTTCATAACTCTCGTAATTTCTCTTTGGACACTATTGAGGTTTCATACGATCGCAATTCTTCGCTCAGCTTCTTATTTCAAGGTTTTGGTGCTGGACGAAGCTGATAGAATGCTTGAAGAAGCTTTCCAAGACCAAATGACTGAGCTTATCAGACTTTGTTCGCCAGATCGTCAAACACTCCTCTTCTCCGCCACAATGACAGATCAGGTATGTTTTGGATAGTACAGAACAGTTGCATTCTCGTATTAATTCACATAGTGATGAGTGAACTCCTTTTTTTCAGATTGATGAGTTAGCAGCCATGTCTTTGAAGAAGCCAGTCAAAATTTTCATTAATGAAAATACAGATACAGCCTCCAACCTCAGGTGTGTGACTAAATTGAATGATTCAAACCATTTTGTGCAGACAAGAGTTCATTCGTATTCGTGCTGGTAGAGAAACTGATCGAGAAGCAATTGTGGCTGCGTTAGTTACACGTACTTTCCAGGTATTCGTGAAACTCAAGTTTACTGAATAATCACCCCACTTCAGGAAAACACTATAGTATTCGTGAAAACGAAGAAGGACTGTGCACGCATGCAGATCTTATTAGGACTGCTAGGAATAAAGGTTAGAATGCATTTGATATCAAATACTTTCAACTTTCATAGGTTGGACAAATGCAATCTAGTTTGTCTCAAGTTCAAAGAATCGAAGCTCTGTCCAAATTCAAAAAGAGAGAGGTTTGATTTATTCTGTCTTTCCAATTCAGTGTTTCCCTTGTTCAGATTGACGTGTTGGTGTCTACAGATTTAGCTTCTAGAGGTTTGGATATTGATGGTGTCCAAACGGTTTGTTTCCGAAATATTTACATGTCTCAACCTCACCATTCAGGTCATCAATATGCATATGCCAAAGTTCATCAAGCAGTATATTCACAGAGTTGGAAGAACTGCTCGTGCTGGAAGGACTGGAAGGTATTCATTCATTACGAATTGATAAAGTCTTTCTTGCTATTTTCAGATCTATTTCTCTCGTTGGCGAAGCTGATAGAAAACTTTTGAAAGAAATTATTAATTCTAATAAAGATCGAATTTTGAAACAGCGTCAAGTAGCCGCAGGTTAGTTATCTTTGTCAGAGTGTGCTCAAAATTCCTTTTAAGAAGTTGTGGAGGCTTATAGACAACGTATTGACTCCTTGGAAGAAGATATAAAGAAGGTATTGGATGTTCAGCATAGTTTTCTAGAAATGTTTTTAGATTGATTCTGATGAACGGGAGGACAGAGAATTACGTATTACAGAGGAAAATCTCAAGAAGACCCAAGAGAAGTTACACAACCCTACTGCCGAAAGAGTATGGTTCCAGAAGAAAACTGAATCAGGTAAAAGACAATTTATGAGCCGTTTATGATGTAAGTTTAGATAAGGAAAGAATACGAGCAGAAAAACGTGAGGCTCGTAAGATGGCTCAGAAAGAGAGAGAGGCTGCCAAGACGGTAAACTACTTATCATTTTAAAAAAACATAAAATTATTTTCAGCCTGAGGAAATTAGTGCCGAAAGAGAAGCAGCCTTCTTGGTACGTGAAGCTAAACGCAAAAGAAGAGGAAGTCATAAGCGTATGCGTGCTGTGGTTGAAGACAACAATAGATCTGTTAGTTCTTTTTTCATCCTCTTTCTCAACCTGAAATTCAGAAATCTAAACAACCAAACGCCAAAAGGAAGAAGATCGCATCTGCTTCTCTCGCGTCACTTCCAGCTATCGGAGTATTTTTCAATAGTTTTAATTTATATTATCATCTATTTTCCAGGGTAATACTCCTAAGTCTCCTAAGGGTGCAGCACCGAAGAAGGGTGGTTCCGGTGGTCCAAAGAAATCATTTACCAGTGCTTTGGCAGCTGTTGGCAGTAGAAGTGTTAAGAAAGCCAGAAGAGGGTATGGAATCAAAACAAAAATGCTTACTTATTTTTCTCTTCCAGACCTGAGGATGCTCAATTCATTAAGGCTAGAGTTGCTCACCGTCTCAAAACCAAGAAGAAATAGAAATTTGTTGATTTTTGATTGTTTTTACATTGTTGACTTACTTGTTATCTGTTGGCTTATAAAGTATCATTTTATATTTTTTGTGCAGTTCTTGAATCACAGAAAGTTTGACTTGGGATGTCCAGAAATGTTTTTGTTTTTTTTGAGCACTTTTTCCGCGCGCTATTTCCGGAATTTGCATATCAATGAAGTCGCGTGGCGTCATTTTCAACATTTGATCATCAAAGCTCAGTTTTCATTTTTTCTTCGAAAGGTTGTTTGATGTCTAATTCCTGTTTGAAAGATTCATGAGGCATTTAGGTTGCATTCAATCAGCACATAGGTACTTCGTATGATATAACAAACTGTTTCTTGCAGATCAAGAACAACGAGATGAGAACGGAAGAACGCGACCAACAACAAAAACTGGAAAACAAGGAACAAAAAAAGTTTGTTTGTTTTGAAATCAGGACTGAAAATACGATATCGTATAAGTGATATGTAGCGCTGGACTTTGATAGAGCACTAGAAATCGTTTTTAAACTTTAAACCTTGGATGATTAGTATTACGCGTTATTTGAATATAATTCTAACAATCTTCCCCGGATCTTCATAAAACAAGCCAGCTGGTTTGCCCCAAAACGCTCATTGAACAGCAAGTATGTGTGTGTGTGTATATGTCGATGTCCAGTGAATGGTAGATTGCTACGACGTAGAATGAATAGCGTCGGGAGGGGGTTGTAAGAATCTCGTTTTCACGCAACAGGACTCTTGAATAAAGAGGAGATATTGGATTGATTTTGGATTTGACTTTATGATGACGATCATCATCTGTATCGCTTCTCCCGCTTGGAATCGTGCAGAAGAAGATTTTCAAAGAAATATTTATCTTATTAGAAACGGACTTCAATAAATAACAATTCCATATACACGTGAGTGAAATAAACGAATTGCGAGTGAATGATATGAGAGTTGAGGCTACGTCACAAATTGTTTTTGATTATAACGAAATGCGTTTGAAACTGAGCTTGCGATGGCCGAACCTTTGTTGAGAGGAATTTTGATTGAATCTCTTTCGAGTGGTTGCTTCTTTTCTTCGAAAGATAAATAAATAATATTTTACTCTGAGACTAATAAGCGACTGTCAAACTGGGCAAGAGAGATCCCACGCGGTTGTTTGTATTTTTTGCAACAACTGACACGTAAATTAGCGAAGTGGCAGCTAAAGCGGCAGAGGTGTAGAAAGCATAGGTATAATGGAAATGCTGAACAAGCTGTGAAGCATAAATTGGTAAAATGAAATGTGTCATCCATTGAACCATAGATGCTAATCCTGTAGCTTTACCAAGATCGGTGGTTTCGACAGCACTGGAATTATCGTTTTTGCTAGTATTAACTGTAATGTGTCTTACCAAGTGATTTGAGTACTGCTCTCAGCATAAGCGATTGAGTAAGCTCCTGTCTGAACAGCAGTAATGACGAGCATTTGCTCAAAACTGTCGACAAAGATGACGGCACAATAACTGGCTAATAAGCCGACCAAAGAAAATTGCAATAATGCCCTTGGGCTGACGTTACGTTGAAGGATTGGGAGAACGACAAATTGTACTACTAAGAGAGCAGCAGCCATGATCATTAAAACAACGGCGGAATCGTTGGAGTCTTTCATGAAGTTACGGAGCAAGAAGTTTCTTGAGATCATCTCGTAACAGACGTATGCAGATACGATTAATCCACGAATAATGAGACCTTCCTGTAAAATGCCACTTGAGATTATTCAGATTCGATTTTGACTAACCTTGAGAGAGTTGTTCTTTGTGATCATGGGCCAGTAGTCTTGAGGACGAAGACGGGCTGTGGCAAGCTTAGGAATGGAGTGAGTTGTTGGCAACAAGAAGAAAAGAACAGGCATAAGAGTTCCCAATAAGGTAACTCCGCAAATGAATTGAGAAACTCTCAAGCTAGTAAAGGCAGCAATTTTTGAACCGATCATTGGACCGAAAAACATAGCGATAGCCTGAAACAGAGGGATATCATAACAACTTTGATTCGATTTCGATGTTTTGTTTTCATTTTTTGTATGAGATCTGCATTTTGCATCTAATTTCTCTTTCTGACCTGTGGAACAGCTAGTCTCATGAGCGCTCCGGTTCTCTCTCTTTCTGTTGTAACAGTAGCCAAGTACATTTCAGCGGTTCCATCGAGTTGGTAACCGATTCTTAAGATCTGAATACAATAATATTTGAATGTAATGAAAGTGCTCTGAAAAAACCTGTAAGAAGAAGAAAGAATACCACGATCTTGCAACGGAAATACCAGCATAGTATATGGCTGTAAGAATGCAAGACAGCATGAACATGGTTTTGGGACCTGTAGTATCAGCCATCTAGATGTTCGAAATTTCATGATGATCCTCTAACTTGTAAGCTTACTTGACCAAAAGCTAATGCACCTGCGGCATTACACAAGCTCCCAAAAGCTTGAATATATCCTAAATCAACGATAGTCATGACCTCCGTTGTATCCCATTGCAGGAAAGATAAGAGTGTAGTTGTCCACTGCGTGCCCATGTGCCATAATCCGAAGATTAGGCATAACACTAACATAACTTTCTGTTTTTTCTCCATACCCATCTATTTATCTGAAATATGCAATCGGTGCAAATACACGAAATTCCAAATTAGGAAGAAGAAGAAGAAGAAGACGATGAAGAAGATGAAATGAAAAAATTATGTCAGATAAAGGATGTCAGTGAGTACATGGAATCTATTACTATGCAGAAATACAACAAGAAGCGACATTTGAAAATATGAACGTTGTAAATGATGATTATGAAATCCACTTTTTTGTTAATACCAAAAATGAACATAGATATGTTGTAGTAATAGTAGAAAAGAGACGAGCATAGTCAAGAGATGGCGTGTAGGAAAGAGTCCGCCTTCGTTGTGTTGCCCTGTCGGCCTATTTTCACTTTCTCATCCATCCAGACTACCCTTCCAACTATCCTTTCCTCTTCTACTCGACCCTCCCCCGCTTCTTTTTCTCTCTCTTACTCTCTCTAGCGTTCTCCCCTCGATTCTCTTCTTCTCTTTTCTTGCATCCGTTGACCAGCTAGATACAGGTTTCGTCGCGCCTTTTTCATCGGACCAATGCCTCTTTTTACAGTTTCAACACATCTTTACGTTTCAATATTTTCCGTACTATTTCACTGATTTTGCGTTCGGTAGTAGACAGAGGGGGACGGGGGGGACGGGACAGCCGACTATGATGTTCATCACCTCCTGAGGAGATCGAAATAGCCTGAATACAGGCAATACGAAGTCGCCTGTAATCCACCAACGACTTGAAATTATCGGCTATCGACTATAACGCAACCCGCAAAATAACGAAAAAAACTAGGAAGAACAAGCCTACAGGTTTTTGCAGGCTGCTTCATTTTTTTAGGCTTAAAGGAATCAAAACGTTCCTCTTTAAGTATCTTATTGGGATATGTGTGAATGTGTATTGCATTATGTGTGAGACATCTTAAGTTGGAAGACTATATCTTAATGATTTGGTCTGTCATATGACGTCATTTGTGTAAAAGCTTGAAACAAGCTTGAAATCTCGTCATCACTGATGTGACTCGTTCACCAATGCTGTGTGAGATGTTTATACAATTTCTTTATTTGAACATGAATAACAAATTAAATTAATCGAGTTTTCCGCTGATAGGCAAGCTGGCAGCGTGAGCTTTCATGAAAACGCAGAATTTATTCAGAATGGGAACAGCAGCTAGAGATACGACCGCACTAACGTAACATAGAATCGATGTCTCATCTCTTTCCACGTAGTATCTGAAAGAGATATGGTCAAATGGATCAGAATAGATTAAAATTTGGAGGATTCGAGAAAGAGAGAAACTGATGGATTGCAAGAAATGGACGGTGTTAGTGTTGATTGGTTTTGTCTAGTTTTGCTTCTTATCCACGCGTTTCACATGGGTGCGTTCCTTACCCCGTCAACAGAGGAACCATAACCATTGCGAGCATATGTGACATCCGGATCAGAGCTGATACCTTGCCTGCATCATGCTTTCCAACAGTACTTATAATTTGTGATGATAGTTCACCAATGCATATGGACAATGCTACGATCTAAATGAACGAATTTGTGAATTCAAGTTGACTGCGTGCATATGTTGTTCGTTTGATAGGTTGTTGAGACAGTGAAAACATACTTGAATAGGCATTCCTATGAAAAGACTAATATGTGAGGTCATTGTCGATAAGTACAAGTACGAGGCTGTCAGAAGAAGGAAGGAGCCCATCAAAACGTGCTGTGGACCAGCACGAGATTGTATAAATGGTACAATCCATACGTTACCGACTACAGAAGCGGCTCCAAGAATTAAGAACTGCAATTATGAGTGTTTGATAGATAGAGTGAGTTGTGCTCATACTATGAGATTCATGCGTATGTGTTCTATCTCTCTCGCTTCATGTATCTCTCTCTCTCTCTCTCTCTCTATCTCTCTCTCGCTTTCTCAGCTCATTATAAGTTGGCAAATGAACGAAGCTGATTGTTTTGATAATCCGTTTTCTGGCGCTTGCTTAGCATCATCAGAAGGCTAACATGATCATTAATGGATTCGTTTTTTTATCCAGTTCCTATAGCTAATGCTATTGAAAGAAGAAACCGATTATTGTACAGAAAACGATCAGATATGTGCTTGTTGAGAGGAAAGCTTCTGATCAGCCAAAAGGAAAGAATAATGGACGTTTGAGTATTATTAATCTTTACGATGTAAGATTTTTCAAAATAAAAAAGTTGTAAATACCAGTTTTGTAAGTTGTTGGGGATCACTGGCGACAGCTGCTGAAAGAGAAATCCGAACAACTTGGTCATATGCACTGAATGGTCCGATGACCATCTGAAATCATAACCATTACAAGTCTGATGAAGATCATATGTTTGATGAGTCTTCTATGATGATGTTATACTTCCTTTACAAACAAAACAATTTCATTGGTTGTTATAGCTCACCATTAAGAGTAATAAGCACCATTTCGTTTTGGGATTTCGGACAAGTTGCAGATATGGTTCCAACTGAGGCAATTGAAATGATCTCTCTGGAATCCATTTATGGTGGATGAATGAGAAACAGTTTGGAAAATTGGAAAAAAACTTTATAAACGAACGAGATTTGTTGTCAGGCAGATAGAGACAGGCCATCGTAACGTTTCCAATCAAATTCATCAATCCGCAAATGGTTTGTGAGGTATTAATGTCGGAAGTTAAGAAGAACAGCATCTGAACATCTTTCGTGTTAATATGGTCATCTAGTTATCTTAACCTGCAGAGCGAAGTAGGGTCCAATAGCTATTCCTATGCTCATTGGTATTGTTAAGCGATTGAGAAAACGGGTACGACGCTTATCATCACCGTCTTCCCCTTCCAAATGAACGACACACGAGTATATAACCTTTAACAATTGTATTACTTTCGGATAACTTTCACACCAACCATAGGAACATGACTGAAGGCAAGAAGAGTTTGTAAAGCTGTGAATATATAGAAATTACGAATTTTAGATACCATTATCTAAAATATGCATAAAGATGAGGATAGTGTTTACTCTCATAGTACCTGGTACAGTGATGTCACAACCGTACAGAAGATGGCTGTTCTTCTCAATCCTTGGACTTCAATCTATAAATCGTAAATGAGATTGTAATAAAGACAATACAGTATCATTACTATTTGGGCTACTATAACTGTTCCAACTAAGATGCAGAATGAAGTAAAAGCATTAAGTGATAATAAATCGAAGAGTGTTGGCTTCGGCTGGAGAGTCCATTGCGTGAATGGCATCAAGACTTTTGTCCATTCCTCACATGTATGCCAGAACCCACAGATAATGAGGATGCTTGTTTCCAAACGATTCCGTTCTCGCTTGTTCATAGCACCTCAAACGTACAGTTTATTGATGTTCAAGAACGACTGAATATGATCAAAACGTAAAAAAGTTGAAGCAGAGAACGATCAAGCTTACAGAGTGGAAGAAAAGAGGACAGTTATGAGAGTTCAGGATATGATTGGACAATTCACCTTTGTAATATTTAATTTCTCTATATCTCTCACAATACCACAGTCTCTTACTCCCCAATCTCCCTCCGGCTCTCTTTATTTGTTTCGAAGCCCACGTGTATCAAATATGTTTTCTGAAAATTTCATTCAGAGAAGCGCATCTATATATGTATATACATAAGGAGAGGAGGGAGTGATAGAGAGGGCCAGAGAGAAAGAGAGAGAGAGATACGAGAGAGAGAACGAGAGAGAGTGAAAGGAAGGGTGCACAGTTAAGCTATCTCATTGCTCATATACAAACATGGAATACGAAAATCAAAATTCTTTTTTTTTCAGTTCTAAACGAGTGCAGCTTGGGAGAGAGAAGTTAAGTAATGGTACTAACGTCACATTTCCATATAGAGAATGCATAGACAGGTTATATTGACATATAATTCTCATAATTGAGTATATGTGATTCTACGTTGGTAATGAGGGTCGTTAATGGTTTGTTGCGATACTGCTGGCTACTTCAATGAAATGCATCCTTCAAGACAATTGACTCACTGATTTGTTTCGATCGAGATAAACAACATAAACTGATAATGTTTTTTTGCTATGATTGTATAGCTTTATTCTATATGACACAGTACGGTTGCATTCATATCCAATAGAACTGTCTACATGTCTTCATACAGGGATTCCCAGTACACAAATCAACATTCTCAACTTGTTGCATGTTTCACATGTCGGCAACATGCACTTGTGCGAATCCAATAAAGCGTTATGTAAATCTTGTACTTTCAACCATTTTTCTCACCTTCATTGGTCGTCTCATCTATGAGAGCGTCTTTCAACATCAAACTATTTTCTAATCTTTAAACAATGAAATTTGCTGGAACTAGCTTTTAAATATTGTGCAGTCTCCATGTCTGACACTATTCTTTTGCCATTTGATGACTCTGGCGCGTCTGTGTCTGCCCTAGAAATCAGCTGACATTTCGTGCGCCAACTGCTGCCATCGTCCTTGCTTCTACTGCAACCTACTTTGCAGCAGTTATCTTTCCTGGAGACACAAGACTCCAATATAACTATGAGAATTGTCTTGAGAGAGAGATAGTAACTTGTGATACTGAACAGCCTGTCCAATGCATGGACAATTAATCATTACTGGTATCAGAGATGAAGCTCATTTTTTTTCTGTTGATTTCCGGGATAATTTGTAATGTAACTTATCCCCCCTCACATCCCCCCCCCTCCCTACGTCCTTGGTGATTGCTCAAAGATCTATTTAAGTGAGACTCGTGTGAATGATCAGATAATGAGGTTTTTCTTTCAAAAGATAATTGTCATGATCATGTGAATGTAAAATTGTATTGATAATTAGCATATTCAAAATAGGCTCTAAGCTGATCCAAGATTGCTAATGCGCATGTGTGCAAGATGTTTCAAATGGATACTACTCCAATTGTTTCACCTTCTCATTAGTATAATCGATTTCGTAGTATTTCCGATTTTACATTCGATTTTCCCTTCGGCACGACCATGAGTATTGTGAAATCTCTTGGAGCCATTCGTATTCACTTTCACATTGTATGATGGCAGGCAGAGCAAGGCAGAAGAGTTTCTACTAGCTCATCTATTTAAGTTTACTTTCTGCTTAAGCTCTTGTGATTTTCTTTTTCTTCTTTTTCTTCTTCTTCTTTTTTTGTTTCTGACGTTTTTGTGTTTCTCGTCCCAAGTTGCAGCTTCATTCACTTTTGAGCGTTTTTATTATTATCCGTTGAGTTTTCTCTGTTGCCGTCCTCTCACAACGACTATTTCTCTTCTATCGCATAAGTTTTTCATCTTCTTATAATACTGCGTTAGGCTGTATGTGCATGCTTGATCGGCTAGTTTTTGCTGCTCCAAAGAAACTAGCCGGTGTCGTCGTCTTCGTCGTGGTTGTCGTCGTTGACGGCAAATGTACACGAACTGAAACAGAAAGACGGAAGAGATATCAGACTATTGCTGAGTATTCGTATTAGACACGAGGAAAGAGCTGTGGGAATATAGCGTATGCCTTCTAGCATATTGGAGTGTTTGTGAGTGAGAGCAAAGAAGAAGCAAAAACTTTCAAAGAGAGGAATGAAGTTTGAAAGTTTGACAAACTAACAAGCAAACACATGGTTAAGTTAGCAGAAGAACAGAAAAGAGACAAAAGAAACTCTTTCAAACCATACTCGGCTTGACGAGATTCTAGTTTTCCTGTCTTCATTATCACAGTTCGTTCATATTGTTGTTGTCTGATTGCTGCTACCTCAAGCATTTCCTGGTGTGAGCTAGATTGCTGTGCTCATTTAGTTCAAATATTCTTTGACGTTTGAAAGCATCTTTTTTATTTTCATCTTGTTTCCGTCCTGCTCCTCCTCAATCGTTTTACAGCCCGCCACGGTAAATCACGCGAGGTTCACGCCGATCAGGTCTTTCATTCGCAACGCTCTCCAATATGCAGAACGGTTGTATTCATCATGTTGCATGCCTGTTTTCCTAGTTGAAAATGACAGTCTGTTAATTTCAACTCCATTTTTCGAAGCATGTCATGGTGTGTCTGATGTTTCCTAATAAGGTATTCACTAGCGTCTCTCTATTCTTCCATCATCCATTGCAGCGACTGTTTCATAACTGCACCCTCATTAACAGTTTACGTTTGCAAATCATGACTTAGGTTTACTGTCTGATGGCTTGCGTCCAGTCAGTCCAATCATCCTATGAATCTCGTTCCAGTTTTCAAAAAAATTTTTCTGATTTGTCAATCTGATTTTGATTTTTATGTCATTTCCATCTTCTAATTGTTGAAGTTCATCTGATTTTATCAATTTTTGGTTTATATTACTCTCGCGGGAATGACAAATCCTTCTTTGGGGAGTAATACTAGTCACATGCTCTTGGGGCAATTATTCCTGAATCCGTGTCGCTGAACAATTCGGAAAAAAAGAGACAAAGGAAATAGAGAGAGAGAAAAGAAAGAAGAAAGACTTTGCCACAATTGGATTGCACGTTGTGGCTGTTTGGCGGAACTGTTAAGTAGTAAGGAAGTTTTCATAACTTTCAACAAATGCTTCATTGACTCATTACCTTCTATGGTAAGCGCTTGCTTCTTGAATGACCTGCATGAGAGAAAGAGAGAGAGAGAGAGGGAGAGAGAGAGAGAGGAAGGTGAGAGAGAGAGAGGTATAGAAGAGTGTTTTTTCTTCAACTTTTATGTGAAGTAAGATTCAAATATTTGACGATTTCTCTTTCGCATCCAATTGAAGTTTCTTCTTTCATCATCTGCTTTTTGAAAGTTTCTCCCTCTCTCCCTCTCTCTCTCTCTATCTTCCTCTGTCGCAACATGGACGGCTGCCGCCTTTCATAATCCTTCAATAGGAAAAAGGAAATCAGATTCTCACATTGAGAAAGTTTAAACCTTAGCCCTTGAAAAACAAAGAGCACTTGTCATGATGATATTAATTTGTATTGTTCTTGTGACGATCAAAGGAAGAAGGGTGTGACATTTCGTTTTACCAGAACCATGGCGGGAATTAACTCTGCAAATCATATGATTTCTTTTTTTTTCAGCATCTGATCGTTTTCGTGAAAGCGAAAGCTGAAAGCTTTTTTGCTATTGAACCGGATTTTTGAACTTTTCAATTGTCCTCTTCTCTTCCTCTTACATCATCTTCTCTTTCTCTCTCGTTAGAGGTCAGCATGCCTGAGGCGGAGTTAAGGTTCAATCGCATTCATATGGCATTAGTTAGTGTCTGAGAAAAGACACATCAGAAGCTGATGACAAAAATAAGCTGTCCAGCATATATTCTTTCATCAAATGATACTATATAGTATCTGACTTGTTTTGAGATCAACAATACGATGACTGACAGATGGCTCATCTGGTTCGTTGAGCCATACAGTCTTGGTCTAATTAAATTCCGGCTGACCTCTCATATGTCTCCTGTTTGATCATATGGAGATGGTCCATTTCTGTAAGAAGCTGCTTTCTGTTGTTTTCTTTACCTTGTTTTTCTATTCGTTTCCAAAAAGTTCAATGTTATTGTGAGAGAGAGGAAGATAGAGAGAGAGAGAGGAGGGTTCTTGTGAAGGTATTGAATGCCATCGTGTTTTGCTTGTTTATTCGCCTTTTTTGCTTCTTTTTCTTCTTCGTCTTCTACTTCTTCGTATGTGGTCTTGTTGAACTAGCTAATGATCAGATTCGATTGCTGGAACGATAGTGCCGTCTGTAATTCCATTGGTTGTCTTTCTTTTCTACTAATTCCTTTGACTGTTAAATGGATTTTCATATGTTTTTATGTTGTTTCTCTCTGTTTACATGACTTCTGAGATAGTATGTAGATGAGAGAATGAAAGACACAGAGAAGTGAGAGAGAGAATAGAGAGAGTGAGTGGACAACGTTGATAAGGCGTAGCTTGTTTTGAGTTACTGGATAATCCATCTTTGATTGAGCGACCAAAAACGACAATGACGAGCAAACATGTGATTATACTCGTCACCAAGTTGCCATTCGTTTCTAATAAGCTACCAGTTATTATTATTGTTTTGGATATCTAATCGATCTAATTCAACTTTATACAGTTTGTCCGTTGTTAATTCGGCAAGAAGCATTTCTTTGAAGCATCTGAAGAGGCTCATCATTGAAATATGACGACCAGAGAAGCTGAGCTCTCTACCATGGTTTGCTTTTCACTCTCTCTTGCTCATTGCAATCCATATGTCGATTCTGAATTGAAAGTATCACAAGCATATTCTCATGCAAAGTCTTCTGATGATTTGTTCGTTTTTTGATTTTCATTCACATGCATACACACGCTTAGACGCAATCACATGTTAATGCTCTCGTCTTGCAATCCATACGGCTATTTATTCATCTGCAAAACATATTGAATTAGGCAGCTAAGACATATTTGCATCTTTTCTGTCGTTTATGGAGTCTTTCCTTTCTTTCTCCTCCTGCACCTTCACATACGACATTTCTTGCGCTTTCTCAACAAGAACTCAATAACGGAAGGGCTAAGTCATATGAGAGCTGATGTGGGGGTGTTAGCTATGCTGATCAGCAGTGCCATCATCTGCCTTGTCTTCTTGCTGCTCTCCTATCTCTCTCTCTCATATTATCACAAATTTCTCATACCTTTCTATATTTACGATTTCTTTCGTATAAATATTTTCTTTTTTTTTTATTTCGTTTGGTGACACAGATTTTCATTATCCCTACGGTCTGTAATCGGGTTTGGGTCATGCATGTTGTGTGTGTGTGTGTGTGTGTGTGTGTGTGTGTACCTCCACTCAACATCACTCCCAGAATCATCAGCTCATTTTGAAGGCTTATTGCATCAGCTAGTGTTATCAAAATTGGTGGATGTGTCGTCAGTAGATTCTGTCGTAAGGCTGTCGTTCAGGCCTCAAGCGCCATGTGCAAGCTTATGCGCTCACTCCAGGCTCTTCTGTTATATGAATTTGAGTATCGATCAGAAGCATGTTTACTTTTCTTCTGACACAGCTTCTCTAAATATTATCGTCTGTGGTGTGGTCTTCATGCATGTCATATGTGCCACCCAATGTTGTTCATTTTGAATTTACAGTCTCTTTTTGGTATGCAAGACCAAATCTCATACAACGGCATCAGTCTGTTTGAAACATTTCTCTCTCTTCTTGTTCTTCCTTTTTTTTTCAATGCGGAAACGAAGCACGTGGTTGTCTGCTTTGCTGCAAGGTCGTTGTAGTCTTTTGCTTCTCAAGATATTTTAAAAATCAATTCAGATGAATAGGGAGCTTGTTTATCTCCTCCTCAGACTTTTTTTCATTTCGCCCCTTCATCGCCCTCCTCTTTAGTACTGTCTGAACGGAATTATTTTTTTCTCATTCCAACGATTGGCACAGTCTCGCCTCGATGTCATTCTTACCGCCTCGAGGTTCTAAACTATTACCTAAAGACCGGAATCTTCAGCTTCTCAGCTGTTGTTCTCAAGGCCAGTAGACAAAAGATGGCAATTCAAAAGCAGAATGTCTCTCTCCTTTCTAAGTTGGCATTTCTTGTAAGTTGTAGGATTCGCTATCAGTTTGTCACTTTCGATTCCTTATTTTGGCAATCAGCTGTTCGTAGTTTGTAAAGTTACAACCGAACATCCTCTTATAAACAATGGAATTCATTTTGAGAAACTCTTTTCTGTGGTCTCGTCGACATCATCTCTGTTCGTTCTTAAGTTGTTATGTGAATCGCTTTCTTAAACTCTCATATGACGTCTTTATGTGCAAAAACAGTTTGCAACTGACATTTGTTACTTTCAGGAATGGAGAGGAAGCGCAGCCTCTCAGCCTCATCAACGGACTCGTGGTCCGTCATAGATCATAGAGTGAGTTTCATCTTTGTTCTCTTCAGTGGGTGGTAGGGTATTTCTGTCCTTTCTGATTAGTACAAATATTGGTTTTAAAAATCTGAAACTCAGTGCATACTTGACCGCTTCACGCTTTCGCAGATGAGAGTATGATGCTTTGAATGTACTTGGAGCTACCGCTCAATTTCAAACGATATGCAAATTCGGAACAGCTTCAATTACCTGAAATATTGATTAGAGAGAGAGAGAGAGAGGGAGAGAGAGGGGGAGAGAGATGGAGAGAGAGGGAGAGAGAGGTATGCAGAAGCAGTCGGGTTGTGTTTGGTATGGAGTATGAAATCTGTTATTTTCATGTCAAATGTGACATAAATATTTTGGTTTTCCTTTGTGAATTTGTTTTTATGTTTGTTTGGTTTTGTAGTACCATCTCTTCTATTTGCTTTACAAATGTTCCATTTTTTAGAGAACATCATCTTGTGATGATACCGCTGATGAAGCTGAGGAGAGTGTCAGCTTGTATTTCGATGAAGCGATCATTGCTGATGAAGCGTTCGCATCTTCAGATGAAGACAATGAAATCAATGAATCGGATGCTGTCGAGGACTCTGATATTGAGCTAGCTGAAGAGAACATCACTGATAGTGATAATGAAGATGCTGCTGATGCTGATGATGATGATGATCCTCAAGATGAAGTAGAGCAAGAATCAGAGGAAGAGTCTGAAGGTGATAGAGAAAATGACTCTGACTGGTCTTCTGATGAAGAAGAAGTCATCAAAGAATCTGTAAGCTTTCTGAACGAACATTAATCATTCATTATATACTTTAGGTTTGGGTTGAGAGAGAGGATATTCGCGAGAGTGGAGGTTTATACTTCGAATCTCCTGAGCACATCAAATCTAACTTCGACGAAATTGGTATGTCTCGTGCTACTGTTATCATCTTTAAAGATTATATTCAGATCGTAAGGAGGGTTGGAAACTTGTCTCACGAGTTCTTACAATCTACTTTTCTATTATCGCTGTTTTATTAGCCGTCGAAGCTGGTTTACAGATGTATAAACGAAATGTGCCTGAACCAGTAAGATAATAAGTTATAATATCAAATGAGAATGTATATTCTAGGATTATCCTGTGTTAATAGCCGACATCTACGGTCTGCAGTACCGTGGAGTTGACTTTGACAGTGATGATCTGCCATCATTCGCTTGCATCCGTAATGTAATAACAATCTCTCTTCGTACTGTCATATTGAACTTTGAACATTCTAGGATTCACTCTCAACAAAGTATGAGAATCGTTTATTATCTATCAAGCCAATGAAACGAATGAACTATCAAAACTCTAGCATCGATGCTGTTCATGATTCCGAGGTCAGTTATATTCTCTCATGCTCATTAGAGAGATGTATGTTTCAGATTTATAACGGCTTCTCCACTTATTTGTTCAAATCTTTCTCCCCACGGCGTAATAGCTCTCGCTTCCAAGTAAGAATATCATCGATTCCTTTTAACAAAACAATTTATTTTTAAGGTTCTCTCTAGACTGGTACAAAGCAAACCTTTCACTTCTCCTATTTCTTTCAAATCTTCTTTATGTTATAAAACTTCCATCGTTCCAAAAGTTTCGAACCATACGAGGTTCTGCCATAAATGGCAGCAAAACTTGGGTAATGGAAAAGCACTTCTTCCTCAAACACAGTCTGTCGAGCTGCGTCCACAATTAGTTTCAAGTCAGAAAGCTCCTGTTTATTCCAATATATGCGTGAGTAGTCTTAATTACTATTTTCAATTTGCTTATTTTGTAAGCTCTTCCTCTCTATTTATGTTTTGCTTGATCCGCTCATAGAGTGCAGTCTGCTTCAGGCATGCTTCCGCTCTTGCGAACAAGCATCGAAAGAAATCCCAAGACTATATACATCAAAATTCTGTGTTATTGTTCTCAATTTCTTATTCTTTCCGTTTCAGGTAGGACAGTCGAATGAACAAAAGCGCATTTCTCGTCCTATGTCTGCTAGCTCTTATATTCCATTGGAGAAAAGTGTTTCGCGCAAGGTTTCAACTCATCGTAACTTTGATCAAACGTCGGTCATTTCAGTTGAAACGTCATTCCATGCCGGCCAATAGACTCGGACCTAGAGCTCCTGAGCCTGTTTATAAGAAACAGTCAAAGATCTTAACAGCTCTACCCTCTAGACGTATCCGATTAGCTAAACCAAATATTCTGATTGCTCCACCACGCAATCGACTCACATTGCCCAAGCATTCCAATCTGTCAATGACACCATCACAAACAGTATTCAGCTCATCAAGATCGTATATGTTGAAGCAAAACAATCGCAAAGCTCTGAGAGCCATTTGTTCAAAGGTATTCTGTTCATGAGTGTTATTGTTAGAATCTTGATATTCAGTCTGCTCCTAAGCCATCACTAGTTAAATCTCTTCCACCAATCAAATACCGAGCTCCCAAACCAGTTCGTTATTCAGTTGGTCCAGTTACCGAGAAAAGTCTGGTACCCTGTCATCCACAGGTAGTTTGATATAATTTTACTCACATCATCAATGTTCTGTTCAGAAGTCATATCTTCCTGTACACCGTAAAAACAAGTTGAGATTATCAAAGCCATCATACATGTCATCCCATGAGGTTTGTTTCATTTTTCAAATATCAAACGAAGGAGCACAGCCCGTTTGCCTGTCATTTTCTACACTCATGTTCTTTTGAGAAGCTAATCGTTGGCATAACAACTAGATTATAGCTTTCTTATTTAATCTAGCCTTATTAAAAGCCACAAAAATTTAATATCCTGCTGAATTTTCATTAGACAAGCGACAAGCAGAATGATCGATTCATTACATGATGCTGTATATATTTCGCTACATCATAGCTTAGCACGATACTTATGTGTTTATATTCAGAGAGCAAGCAATGCATTACATGGATTATATATAAATAAAACTTCTCAACGATCGGATCAGTGCGACAGCCGATATTGGAATTTGAAGAAACATCAGCTTGATAAGAGAAGAGCAAAGGCCAGAAAGGGCATTGATCACAAAACACCTACACCATGTGCTGCCAAATATAGTAAACATTCCTTTTTTAAACCGAAAAACTATTGTGTGTTCTGTTTTAGCGATTGAATCATCTGTCGCAGAACGTAAACAGTACCATCTTTCCGAAAGACGTTCATATAGAAACCAAGGAAGTATCCGTAACTCTTCTTTCGCTAGGTACAGCTCACTCATAGGGTAGTCCTGATATTCGCTATTTTAGAAACGGATGCAGCAAGTCTAAAGCCGTTGTGCCTGCCAAGAAAGCTTTGTTGCCCAAATGCCGTTCTGAATCCAAGCCACGTAAAGGAAAGGAAATCAAGCCTAAATCTATGTGCAAACATCGAGTTAGATTTGATTAACTTCTGCGTGTATGAGGAATTCAGAAACCTCGTTCAATGAGGTACACTGATCTCTTGCACAAAGTTCTTTCGTTCAAATCATCCATGTTGCCTTGTGAGCAACATGTTTTAAATGTAGATATCTCGTCTAGATGTATATAAGATGCTCTCAACTTATCCTTCTTTCAACTTACACGTTTCTGAATGTTTAATGACCCGGCGCTTCTTATCCATATCTTCATTGATTTCATAAAATAATTCCTTTATGGCACTATGATCATCTGCGATCATCTTCAGAGATTATTGGTTTCTGAAGTTCCCCATATGTTCTATCATTCTATATATCTTAGCTACTTACAAATAACTTCTACGTATACGTTTTCTTGAACTTGAAGATCTTTGGTGAACATATGCTAATACCGATTCCAGTAAGTATTAGGATATCTTGGTTTCTGAAGCCAACCAATTAAGTCTTGCAGTTTGAGAACGTCATTACAGTAAAGAATGTTTGGCACCTGCCTCTCAAGTCGCGATATGCTGCCGTGACCAGTAAGCAGCATCGCGATAGTACCTAGTACTCTTCTAACCATTTTTCTCTCTCTCTCTCGCTTAGTTTCATCATCCAATGAACTGTATAGATGATCGTTCAAAAAACCAAAAAAACAAACTTTCGATCCGAAAGGCATAGGTTATGTATATATGTGTAAGTAAGTTACTCTCAATAATCATGTAAATAGCCTCTCATTACCTCAGTTTCTTTCACAAAGTGTGCTCTTGTTGTATATAAACCTGATTATGGTGTCTTCCTAGTAAGCCATGTACATGTCCGTTGGTTTCAAAAACCCGGTAGCTTGAGTATATCTGTAGAGACAAATGCATAGTGGTCCAATAAAACGTTAGAACTGTTTATGTAAAGAGTTCATGACTATATATAGATACAACAACTTCATCTGATCTTTTGATGAAGGGAATGAGTGAGAGATAGCACACGATTGAGTCATCAGACAAATGCTGTTTATAGGCTTAGTGAATGAGCAGTGATAGAATATCTTTTGAATAGGTTACAGTTCCCGATTGCAATGTTTCAACACAAAGTGACCATAGTTCAAAGTAAATAAATCAGAAATTAGTGCTTAATCGTTGGTTGTACATCTGAAGTAAGTCCAAAGTGTTTCTCCCCGTCACACGAATGCTTCTTTTTCCGTTTTGTTTTTCTGTTTGTGTCCGAAGAGCACGAAGAAGTAGAACCATAGTATAACGGAACAAAGGCCTGTTAGAGCGACTGCCACAATCAAAAAAAGCAAGAAACTGAAATGCGAAACGTTAATAGACGATGACACGATAGCGGGAGTCATCTTTTAAAGATAAAGAAAGACAGGTCAGCTGTTGTCAGAGGTACTAATCGCGCATATGGTGAACGTGTAAAACTGTGTATATGTAGCGTTCGTGGTGTAATGGTCAGCATGGATGCCTTCCAAGCATTCGACGGGGGTTCGATTCCCCCCGAACGCATACGTTTTTGAATTTTTTGTTTTTTTTATAAATTGACAAATTCGGATAATACAAATATCAAAACAGCATCTTATGACGAAGAGAATGCAGAATTTGCAGAAATATTTGGAATGTTTTTGCTGAGAGAAAGCATGATGGCACCAACCTCATCACAAACTCTTGTGAAGGACTCAGCGTGGCTGACAAAGCTTCAACTTCCATGGCTTCCATTGTATAGTCTGCGGAAGTGATTGATAAAATACACGTTAGCTTGTAATAAACGGAGAAGAAATGATGAGAATTGTCGGAAATGGTTTAGATGACAAATATATTGAATTATTGTATAAAATCAACATAACATTTATATAAATATGAGTAAGAGAGAACAAATGAAGCGAAAGCTGTCCAACACGGCAAGAAACACAAGAGAGAGAGAGAGAGAGAAGGAGAGATAGAGAGAATGGGTGCAAGAGAGAGAGATAAAAAGATAAAGAGAGAGGGAAGTAGAAGATGCAGATGAAGGAAGAGGAAGAGTCTCTCTCTCTCTAAGAGAAGGAATGAAATAAGAGAAAGAAGTGGTGAAGTGACACTTGGTTCTTACACATAATAAGCTTAACAGTGAATTCATAAGTTTGCTTCGGAAACCATTGAATATGAAAATCATGGATGTAGAGCGTGGAAAAGTAAAAAACGATGTGTGAGAGACATGAGAAAGAAACACATGAGCCTAATGAAGGGAAAGGAAAGGAATCAGAACATTTTTGTTTATACTTTAGGGGAATGTGTTAAAAAGTAGATGAAAAAGTCAAAAGATGACTTAGATAAGCAATCGAGACGGTTTTCTAACAACTAACATCGACATTCAGAACTGTAGTTGATGTTGAGAGAGAAATGCAACAAGTTTCTTCAAAAGTAAAATGGGTGGAACCCGAAGAAGATTGAAGGAGGCAGGGATATGCACATTCACGAGAAGACTACTGCGGCCTGCTGCAGCCATGGACATATCCACGGAAGAAGTCCGAAGCAAACGGAATAATTGAGTCTGGTACAAGTTCATGTGGTCGATGGTGAAGTGTAAAACATGTAAAGTTTAAAGTGTGCATATTACGAAGTTAACGAGAGTGATTCGACTTCAACATAGCACGTGCTCAAAGAACTTCAGGAAGCTATTTGAAATTAAAACACAGAAGATGAATCTTCACTAGCCATGACAACATGAATACCAATTTGAAAGCAGACGATGAAAAAGAAAATGCGACAGACAGAAAACAATTTTCGCATTGCCACACACAGACTCACACACATGCACACACACACACACACACACACACTCTTCGAACAGTTCACGAAACATAAACTATGACGATAGATGATTACAAAATGAATAATAAGCCATTAAATGAGAGAGAGACACACACTCTCACACGCGACTCATACTCACAGAATCGCAAAAAAACGCAATTTCGATAATACGAAATTTTGAAAAGTTTCGAAGGCAACCGACCGCTCATTACAAATGCAAATGCAAAATAATTTGAATGACATAAGGAATCACTAAGAGCAATTGGATGACGTGGATACGAGAACATAGAAGTCAAAGGTTATGGAGTTGTACCAGCTGGCAGGTTAGAAGAAGAAGAATATGATGATGTTCACTGCCATTTTCATTATTACATTTACTGACACAGTGAGTTTACAACAGAAAGTGCAACAATGGTCACGTGCTATCATTGAAGGCAGACGTGTCAAATGCATTTTCTACAGAATAGACAAAGGAAGTGGCCGACGGTAGGGTGATGAAATAGACGATACTAGAGGATTCGTCAAATGCAGAGCAATCTTGATGACACAGGTTCTTTACACACGATTGTGTGGGAATTGATGTGAAGCTTTTTCCACACATATAAGGATATTCAAAATTCGGATTAACGGTCGTTTGGCTTCTGCGAACAAATGTGATTTCCGTTGACGTCGAAGCGGGCAAGTCAGAAGGCACATTCGATTGACAATTCAATACAATGATGATGATAAGCATGCGACATAACGTCATATAAGGAAGTTAGGTGAAAAAATGTTTCAAGCAATATTGGGTGAGAAAGAAATAGAAAAGAATTTCCAAAACAAAAGCTTTTGCTGCTTCGTCGTTTTCATTGTCGCCTGTGTCATCCAGCCAGGATTGAAATGTGCTCGCATCAATCGCATTGATTAACGTTGCCAAAGGATACGTAGAGAGGAGTTAATAACTGATTTCATAACAGCTTTAAACAACCTTCTGTTGTTTTTTTCCCAAAGCCTTGTAGTTTTATTATTTACAGAACATAATTCAAAACGAAAGATGACCAGCAGTGATCTTATGCAACTACTGAATGATGATGCGCTTGAGAAAGGCTGATTGCTTCGATAACGGTATGTTTTCAGTTCGTTTTTGCGAGATGCATGAAAAGAGAGATTTCTTCTATGTTTTGAGTTTTTGTTTGAATCAAACTCGATGTCTCTGTCAATAATATATTTTATTTCCTGCCAGCTTGTGAATGAGAAATCCTTCAGTTCGTTACCTTGGCCTGGGAAACGATGATTAGTCTGATTCCCAACGTTGGCATTCCCAAGTATCCTAATATATGCTGGGACATTGGCACGTGTTTCATGTGATAGCCTAAGTAGTCATGAACGTCGCAGCATCTCGCTAGATATGGGCATGTGAATGCATAACTTAATGTTCACATCTTCTTCTAATTGTAATGAGAAAAAGGCGAATTTGGCACAATCTCCCAGAGGTTTTTGATATGAACAACAGTCGGGTTGAGAATGATTCATTCAAGTCAACATAGTCGTCTGTTGGTCAGCCGGTCGCTCAAGCCAATCTGACTTTTCTATATTTTACTCTCGTTGTTGCTATTTCGTTACTTCCCATTGCTTTTTCCGTTCTCACATTATCAAATGACTTACCTCTTGAGAGGAATCAAGCTCGAAGATCAACCATTTCGGTCATTCAAGAGCAATACAGCCAATAACTCTCCAGCTCCTATCTATCCACACTTCGTTTCCTCTTATTGAAATACGCAACTTCAATACAGCTGCGAGTTGATAGCCGGATACAAGTTTTAGTAAAATTAGTAATTTCCATCTATTTTTCATTCCAAAAGTGACCAGAGAGAACACTTCGTCTCGTTTTAATTTCATTCGCTGCTGCAGGGACGAAGTCTTCATCTTTCTCATTCTCGTTCTCCTATTTCACAAACTTTTTCAACTTTGAGCCTCATCGCTTTTCCTTTTCTTTTCGACTCTTTCGTTCT